TAGAGCTGTTAAAATCCTAGATTCACTAAAACTAAAGGAGAAAGTTTTATGCTTGAAATCCAAGTAGCTTCCTCAATATGAGATCTCTAAGTCTTTGTGTGAGAGTTTCATATTTTGTGTTATTTCAATATTCATTAATTGCACAAGAATTAGGACCTAAACATGGTCATCATTGCAGTTGCATCAAACTTTTTTTTTTTTTTTTTTTTTTTTTTTTTTGAGATATATACAAGAGTTGTTACATTCTTGTACTCAAACTCGATTTTTCTCTCAATGAAACTTAACTTTCAAAGAGTTCTTAGACATTTTTACCTTGCACAGGCAATGTGTGGTCGTTGTCCCCCTTCACAGATGATTACATACCCATGTTCAGTACTGTACATTATTGAGAAAATCAATTGGAGCTCTGAGGTGACTCAAACTCGCAACCGAGAGAATCCCAGCTGCTGTCGCTAACTACCACCCTGCCTTGTTAATTCATACAATCAGATTTCTACTGAAATCATAGGCAGTCTGGAGTCCCCTCCTGAAGCCAGTCTAGTCTTGGTCATGGATTCGAGTCACCTCAGAGCTCCAGTTGATTTTCTCTGACATATATCACATTAGTGAGATTTCTGTGTACTGTAATTGTATATTCCTGTTTATGCATTGGTTCAGTAGCATGGGGGTTGTCAGTACCACACATCCAGGAAGTTGGCATTTATCACTGCCTGTCACTTTTCTCTAGACTGAATTCTGTTCACATAGACAAGAATGTCTTGCTTTAAATATTATCTTGCTTTCATGTTTCTAAATCTTTGAAGTCATTATCATCATCATCATCATCATCATCAATATCATTAGGCCTATCAGCAACACTGGCAGGATGAGGAAAGATCAGTGCTGTGGACCAAAGTTTCACGCAAGCATTTCTAGATATTGAATTTTGTACACCAAGCAGTTTCTATTCACATGTGGGGGTGTAATCACAATTCATGATTGCTATGCTGTATTGACTGTGATTTTGAGATGTATGTGAATACAACATCTGTCAATATGGTATTAATGCCTGATATTGATATTTAAATTTTATGGGTGTTTACCCACATGTCATTTTACAGCATCTTGTATTGGCTTGAAAAATAATTAAAATAAATGATTTATAGCAATTTATTCTGAGAGGTTATTATTCTCTAGAGGTTATTCCCTCTATTTCAAGATCATATAAATAATCTCATATTTTTAATACAAAAATTCTAAGATATATTTTATACTGTATTTATGCATACAATTTGCAGTATTTTAAGAGTTTCTAACATTTCTTGGTTTAGTTTTGTGCAACACTGGAGAAACTAGAATTTATTTGGTGAGGTAGGGGGGGGGGGATGGTTATCTTGAGGTTATCTAGCTTAAGATGATTTCGTGGCTTAGCGTCCCTGGGGGCCGGTCCTTGACCAGGCCTCCTTTTTATGGCACCTACGGGAAGCAGCCCGTAGCAGCTGTCTTACTCCCAGGTACCTATTTACTGCTAGGTAACAGGGGCATCAGGGTGCCCATTTGTTTCTGCCTCTACCCCGGATCGAACCCGGAACCTCAGGTCTGCGAATCCGAAGCACTGTCAGGCCCCCCTTAAAGGTCAGGGGGTGGGGGGGTGAGAAGAGCAACTTTTTCTTATCTTGAAGTTTTGATAATTTTATAGAATTATTTGATGATACGAGTAGTATTTCAAATGGAAGAATTGGTTGACATATGGTAATAAATATGGTGGCAAAGAGCACAGATAAAATATGAGTTGAATATGCGTATTTTGGCAGTATTGTATGCGTGGAAAGGTAACTTGATTGAAAATGCTGATGTGGATTACAGTACAGTACTTGATTAGAGAGTAGAGATGGATAAATATACATTACATAAAAATATGTTCACACTATAGTTGTTCAAGTGTGGACTCGCTTGTGGACAACCCTTGTGAGAGGAAAACTGAAGGTACTGTATGGTACCTGACAGCACGATATCAGGTGGAGTGGGCAGCAAGCAGTAAATGTCACAGGGTTTGGATACCTAAGATTTTACATACACAAAATACACTAGTTGTTTGGAGTCATGTTGGCATATCAAGTATGGTGTTGGAGTCTAACTCTATCATAGCTTTAAATGTAGATATGCTAGCCCAGTAGACTTTGAAACCTATATACTGGTCAATTCAGGGTCGAGAGATGGGATCCAAGAGCTGTAGCTCATCTCTTGTAAATACAACTAGCATTTGTGTTCATTGCTGTCTTCTTTTATGTGCTGGCCATATGCTGTATTGTGACTACCAATTTTTGTCAACTACCATTCAAGCTGTCATTGCAATCAATCTTAGCTACCTATGTGCTTTAATATACTGTACCGACAATTTTCTCTCGTCTTTTTTTCATTCCATGTAACTGTTATCATTTTTTTGTCTATAAATTTTGCAAGTATTTACCTCCTTAAAATTTTCTTGGATTAAGGACCTGCCCGAAACGCTGCGCGTACTAGTGGCTTTACAAGACTGTAATTACCATATTATGTATCCTCACATTCCCAATGTACATTCTTGTATATGCATAAATAAATAAATAATAAATAAATAAATAATTTTGCTGCATATAAGTTTCAGTAGAAACATAATGTAAATTCAAAGAAGCTTCATCAGATGGTTGTGCTTGGTTTGGCAATAATTTACAATGTCTGTTACATAGCTTTACACCTTTTATTAGGTTTAATGCATCTTGTCTAGTGCATAAAAGGATAAAATTTATAATTAGAGTTTAATATTTGTAAACAATAGTTTTTATTTTAAAATACATCATAAAAAGTAGCTATAGTATTATAAATAAGTGCAGATTAAAACACTATTTGTGTAATTCAGGTACAGTGCAGTACTGTAATACCATTTATTTATATATATCTTTATATATATATACACACACACATACACAGTATATACACTGGTTTTTTATTCTTTAAAGTCTAGTAACAAATAGTTTCTTTGGCAAAACTGTCATGTACAGTTTTAAGCAGAAGTTCTTTATTTACCTCTTATTGTTGTTTGTAATGTTTAAGAAATATAACAGGAAATCATTAGGACCTGAAAAGTCTGTAAAGGATATTTTAATTTATTGGATGGATAAAATGTCGTCGCTACATAAACATAAATAAACCTTACAGCAAAATTAACCCAAACTGTTTCCCTGTGCACATTTTTGGCTGGCTGCAGCCACATTCCTCTTCATGACTTCCTTATTTTAGTTGACTTAAATACCAAGCAAGAGTATCTTGGCAGAGGTGAGGAATGTTGTAGTGTGTGTGTGTGCTGGGGGCCAGCGTGTAGTACGACACAAGGAGCTAATGTTTTTGTTGTGTGTACGTGAGGTAGAATTCTCATATTTGCTTCTGGTTTTGGTAGTGAAGAATCTGCAGTACAAACGAAACAGCCCATACATACCGTACTCTTATTTGCCATTTGAGGCATGTGATTCAATTTAATAACTGTGTCTTATTAATATTAAATTGAGAATGTTGATATTTAGGAAAATCTGTTTACATCCACTATGCATTCCTGGAAATTGAGACTTAAATCGAAAGGACATAAATTGATTTTTATTTTCCCATAAGAACATTTTGTCTGAGAAAGAGGGACACTTATTTTTGGCTATTCCATGTGCTGAGTGTTAGGATTGTTGTAGTTGGTTCCCGAGCTCTTTTGTGATAGTTTATTATCTTCATATTTTAAAAATTTATCAAGAAACATCTACCTAGCTACCCCTTTTATTCTCATGGTGTAACTTCTTATGGGTGACAGATGTTCCTGCAATCTTAAATTCTCTGATTTGTTCCAACACAATTTTCAAAATTTCGTTCCTCATCTTTCTGTTATTGTTTAAGATGAAGCAAATCTGATTGACAAGGGTTTTACATAGCAGTCATTTCAGCCATGTAAGCTTCATCAACTTCATATATATCCCGGGTGGAACAGAAATGGTTGGGCATTTTCCTATTACCTAATGACCTCCCCCCCCACCCCCCTCCTGTCCACCAAGTAGTAAATAGGTACCCAGGAATTAGGCAGCTTGTTGTGGGGTTGCATCCTGGCGGGATCAGTAATTACACCCTAGGAAGGGACCTTGATATATGCCTAACATGTACTGTATGTATAAACTGGCTGCCTGTCTCCCGACAATTATTATTATTATTATTATTATTATTATTATTATTATTAATATTATTATTATTATTATTAATTATATCCAATGTTTACACAGTAATTTATATTTTTATCATCAAATTTCACATATTTATATTACAATAAGGCATAAATTGTATAATATTTAAGGTATGTAAATTGAAAAGTGGATGTAAAATGTCACCAGATGTAAATCAAAATTACATAAATCGTAGTCTTAGCGAATGTTAATACTGAATAGTAATTGATTCTACCGTATACTGGAGTTTGCTGCTGCTTAGATTTTATATAGTTAGGGTTTTTCTTTGACTATTGCTATTTAGCAATCTATTTCAATCTACATATTTCTAAACTATAATTTCAAGGCAAAATTTAGCAGCTAAGCTGTACGTTATAGACATTTTGTCATTTAGTCATAGTACTCTGGATATTATTTATTATATAAAATATTATTTGTGTAGTATAAATAATTAGTTTTTGCATTATGATTTTAAAATTATATCAAATTCAGTACAGTACCTTCAGTTGAATAATGTACAGTTCTGGAAAAGCATATCACTGATCATATCAAAAGCATATCACTGATCATATCAAAAGCATATCACTGATCATATCAAAAGCATATCACTGATCATATCAAAAGCATAACACTGATCAACAATTTTGCTTAAGTAAAACAACAATGAAAAAATACATAGCATCCTGTATAGTTACATTATTAGCAAAAGAAAGATGAGGATATGGAACTAAGATTTGTAAACCCCCTGAAAAATACTTTGTATTGTGACATTTCAATTTATTTTTCTTTCAGTTACACCAAAGCTCAGACATTTGCTGACTGCGTAGGCCACGAACTACCTTATGGGTGGGAAGAGTGCTTTGACGGCCAGATTGGTGTCTACTATGTTGATCACATTAACAGTGAGTGTGGTTTTCTTTTGTGTGTGCCTCATTGCATGTGTGTGTGTGTGTGTTTAGCACATGCTTCTTTTTTGACATAAATTTTTCTCATTTTCCTAAAAGTTAGTTTCAAGGTTTGCTTGCATGGCACCGACCAAATTTTAGCCGAAATAAATTCTACTGCACAGGTATTATAGTTATAATGCTCTGCTGAACTTGAAATGCATTTTAAATTGTTTTCACAGAAGTATGCAATAATTTGATTCTTTTACAATATTTGTGCATTGATAAAGTCAAAAATATGTAGGTAAAATTCAGAGTATGATTTTGGGAAGGAAAATAGCTAATGGTTATGAAAAGCAGTGTAGGAAGCAAGGAGAGGGATGCGTAAGGGAGAGGTCTTCCCTGTCCTTGTGCAGAGATGAAAGTTGCTGAAGCAACACAAACATGAAAAATCAAATAGTTAAAGCATTAGAAGTGGACACTTTCAAGAAGCACATGTGGTGGTAGGAGAAGGATAAATAAACTAATGAATGAAAATATCATATAAAGAATGTAAATGTAAAAATCACTAAATCTAAAGATTAAAGAGAGCATACTGAGATACAGTAGTTTAGTTGCATTAAATAATGAATAACTATTGGGTGATAAAGAGAATGCATATCAGTGAACTTGTGGGCAGGAGGAGGAAAGAGAGGACTGGCGATGAGCAGGCATTATGAGTGAATGTGTCTGGAAGCAGGAATTTTGTGAAACAGCACATAGGATATGATAGTTAACAAAGTGGGTGGAAGTGGTGTACCGTATTTAAAGTCGGTAATTGTTTGAGGAGTTTGTACATGTAGATAAACATCAAGATTAAATTACTTTATTTGTAGAAGTTGCTTTACCTGTAAGGACTTTATAAAATCTAAGAGACGTACTTAGGGCTTGTGATTATGAAGGGAGGCAATGTTGGTTGGGGTTGGAGTCTGTGTGGTGATGATAGGCTGACATCAGTATGATGATGTGAGATTACAATTTATATTTATGAAATGTTAACTTGGTAAGAGGATTAATTAATTTTGACTGTTTCTTCATTTTTTTGATGGTGGGGTAATGTTTGATGGCTGCCGACTGTCTCCTAGTGTTTTTTTCTTTGATTAGTTTACCTTCCCCAATTATATTTGTATTTGTACAAATACAATTATATTTGTAAATCTTTGCATCTAAGTTTTGGGATGTTTAACTTATTGGTACATGTATTCATTACTTTGTCCCAATAATTACAGAATACAGTGTATACCCCTGCTGTAGTGACCTTGTTAGTTATGCTTCTGACATGGGTAGTGATTGCAGTGTATGTTTTGTGCACAACCCCTGTATTAACATCATTATAGGGGTATGTTTTGTGTCTGTTGTGTTAGGGGGAGAGAGTTGCCACTCTAGTTCTGGTTTTACTAGGTGTTACTATCTATGATTTTTGTTCCTTACTGCACTCCCTAATGAAAGGTATGGGGTCTTTAAGGTTTAAGAAGGAATTGTTGATGTATTGGCACTTGAATTGCTGGCTACAAGTACTAAATGGTTGAGCAAGAATCCAATCATTGTTTTGTTTCGGGGTTCAAAGAAGAAAACAACATTATGAGGCAGAGTTCATAGAGAGTTTGCAGCTATCAAACACTACTCTACCACTGAGCAGAATAAGAAAATATTTAACATTGCTATCCCCACCATCTTACTTAATTAGTACTATACACTGTAAATATAAATTGTAACATAATTCCCCACATTATTCTTCTTTATGTCTCGTCTTCACAGTAATGACCTTAATTATCTTCTACGTTCCCCCATTTATAAACAATTGCTCTGTGAATCTTTGTTAGAGTTGATAATGCCCAGACAAAATATCATCTACAAAGTCTACTCTCATCTTGATGTTTCTCCACATTGTTGTCAACACTTTGTGCCCTCTGCAGACAATCATGTTTGTTCAAGACATCTCAAAAGGAGCAATTCTACATTGACTTATGAAGTGGTGAATGCTACTGTAGACGATTTTTGTTTTGTGGTGGTGCTAGAAAAGTAATTAGATAGGTAACATTTTGAATAGCTTTAATTCATTTATTGTGTTGCTCTATCTTTTCATGACAAATGCTTCCTTACTGCATGAATGTAAGAAATTGGGTATTAATACTGAAGGTTCTTGCTTTGAGTTGGTTCAGAAAATGCAAAATTCACTTTATGCGAGGTAGGTATTTTACTCCAGAACTTACTGAGTGTAAGGGGTTGTCTGTTTAGCGCAATTGCTTGCATGGTGACACCATCACCATGAAGAAACTTTAATGTTTAATCTTCACTTTGTCATTAGTGAGTGTTCAAATCTACTTTATGCAGTACTAGTGACCCATACCAAACACAAAAAACATTTCTAACACTAAGTGTTCATTTATAGTTTACTAAATGATTAACTGTACTTATTTCCCAATTTGAAAAAATGCTTGAATGCAAATTAGCATGCATAAAGTAATCATGGCTAGCAAGCGAGCAACCTCCTCTTGTTTTGTGTTGGTCATGTTTTGCGTCCCCACTCAGACTATGTATCTTGCCTGAAATGCTACACGTATTAGTGGCTTTGCAAGAATGTAAAAATACCAATCTTATGTATCGCACGTACCCATTGTACCTTCTTGTAAATAAATTTTATATTGTATATTATTGTATCTTAGTGTTTATTAAATTATAATAGAGTAGTTTTAAACTCGCTAAGCAACTGCATATGGCAATGAAGTGTAGTTCAAGTGCAAGTGGTAATGTAGAGAAAAAGCAGTGTCTTAAATAAAAAACATTAGCCGAAAGAAGTTATTAATTCGTAAAAAAAAAAAAAAATGAGGTCTTTGGAGTATAACCTGTTTTTTAACGCATTTATTTTTGTTTAAGGCAATTTTGCCACATAAGAAATTTCCTGGATGTTACCGTTGTGTGGTTGGTATGTTGTGCGTGTACTGTACTGGGTAATAGTTTAGGAAGGTGTTGTTCAGAGTGGAAAAAATGTACTCTGGAAGGTCTATGGAATGCAACACTATTTTGCAGGCGATGAGTCACAATAACGTGGCTGAAGTAAGTTGACCAGACCACACAATAGAAGTTGAAGGGACGACGACGTTTCGGTCCGTCCTGGACCATTCTCAAGTCGATTGTCTTGAGAATGGTCCAGGACGGACCGAAACGTCGTCGTCCCTTCAACTTCTAGTGTGTGGTCTGGTCAACACTATTTTACTATTATGACCTCAATCTTGTTTTTTGTGAATTCACTTGGGCCAAGGCATGATGCAAGGTATCCCTTGCTAGGGATTAGTGTAGTGAATTTTGTTTCTATGGGTTAGGGGGTTCTGGTGCACTTTTAATTCCATGTTGATATTGCTCTTATATTGTACTTCATAAGTTTTACTGTACTGTATTTTAATTTAATTTAAATTTAGTTTAATTTAAAGACCTATTTTAAAGTAGCCTAGTTCACTGCATTATCACATTTTCAGATTTTATTTCAATGTACAGTATATAGCATTTTGATTGTCAAGTAAATTATATTTTCATGCCATCTATCATATTTTACTCATGAGGTTCTTAAATATTATTTTACTGGCTCATTTTACACACATTATCTTTGTAACACTTCAATTTACAAAAATTGGAATTCTAATTACATTTAATCTCAATGCCACAGAACAAAACCAAATTGAGGACCCCAGACTAGCATGGCGGCAAGTTCAGGAGGCCATGCTGTCTGAATATCTTTGTTCGGCGCAGAATGACCTCAGTGCCAAGCAAGACATAATGCAGGTCAAAGCACAGCGACTTGCACTGGCTCAGGACGAGTACCATCACCTCAATGCTACACTTACCAACCTGTTCAGCTCAAGATCCTCGTGTAAGTTCTCTCATGTGTAAATGTTCTTGATAAAATTTTCATTGTGGCTTTTGTACTGTGTTTGGGGGGGGGGAATGTATATAATATTAAATCACTGATTGCTATATATGTATTACTACTACATATATAGTAATCAGTACAGAATAAGAAAGCAGCATTTACAAATATGTCAATGAAATACTACACAGTATTCTTGTGTCACCAAAGCTCTTCATCATATATCTTGCAAATTCTGTAGTGTATTCCGTGTTAAAGAGTACAGTAATAAATGGAATCTCCATCTAAAGATATATCTTGAAATGCATATACATTATGAACACTGTATATCAATACAAAATATACATAGGAATGAATGCTCCATAGACAGGTACAGTATATCAATTTATACTTGAAAGCTGTATATACTAATACTGTATGAATATTTCAACAATGTATCTAAAAGTTGTATGTACACATAGATATTAATATATGAAAACTGTATATTCAAAAATATCAATACATGAAATCTGCATACACAAATCTGTTACCAACAGTAAGTTCAGGTGGAAGTGGGACTGGCCGATGGGACCCAGACTTGCTCAAGACGGACGTAGCCATGGCCAGAAGTCGTGTCGGTCGCTTGAAAAGGGAACTCCATCAGATCAAACATGAAGTAGCTAACACAGAGGCTGGCATGCAGACACTAGCACAGTGAGTATAGGCAATATCAGCACACAGTTATTACAATGAGAGTGCCTTCAGCATATACATGCATGGCAAGTAAGTGGAACAGCTTCAAGTGTTGTTTGCTAGTGGGTGTGTTCAGCATATGTGTGTGTGAGAGGAGTGAGTGTGTTTTCAACATATAAAAGTAAATGTAATTACTTAAGTGTAGTTACCGGATGACAGCTACGCTCGTGGTGTTCCGTCTTCCCCGCACTCTTTGTCATATAACGCTTTGAAATTACTGACTGTCGCGATCTCTCTTTATTCACTCGTTATAATCTCCCTCATAATTGTTATGAGTCTCTCTTATTTATTATCCAGCTCCTCCTTTGTACATGTTGCATGGCAGTGGCCTGTATGTATTTATGATTAACAGTTTATCATCCTGATTGCAAATCTCCAGGGTTGACATTAATGTCAACTTCTCATGGACTGGCAATCATTATTTCATTTACCTTTAAGTGTTCTTTCATGGAATCAGTCATGGAAAAATGAAATTATTTGTCAACCAACAACTTCAGCCATTGTTTGTTGGTGAATGTCTTCTGTATATGCATGTGTACGAGGTGAATATCAAATACTCATGTGTCATTTGCTGGAGGTATAATCATTAGTTCATTGGCTTGTGAAGTCTTAATAATTGAAATAGTCTTTGAAACATAACTTTTTAACGTGGTTGCAGGTTTCTGAAGCAACGTAGTACTAAATTGAGAGCACAATACAGTGAGTTACTTTATTGCAGAACAGGAAAAAAGCTATATAATGTCTTGTGGTTGATGTTTTGCTACATGGCTCTTCCTGTTTGTGGTGCGTGCAAACAACTATTATAGGGAAAAAAATGCTTGGACACTGCACTCAGTAGGCAAAGTAATCACTTAGGCAGGGATATAAGAGGTTCAGTAAAGTTACCTTCAAAGTAAATATATTTTCCCTTCACAGAGTTCAAGAAAAGCTAAGTGGGCTAACTACAGGCTACAGTGTTGAAGAGGCCCAAGTTATCATCGCTGAGCTCAAGAATATTGAAGAGTCACTTCGAGCGGGAGAGAAAGAAAAAGCAGAGCTCATCAAATCTTTAACAGTTTTGAGAGAAGACATTATCTCTGCTGAAACAACTCAGACTATTGAAGCCAATTTGGAGAAAGCCTCAGAAAAGCATAGTACTGCATCACAAACGGATTTTGGTGGCGAGGTATTATTATGGTCATGTTAGCCCTCAGTACAGTATTTGATTTAATAACCCTATGGAATATTAAATTGTCCTGACCAGCATCCTCCTCATTCCATTAATATTCTATTCAGAAATTTGTATCTCTTTCAGGGTATGCCTCTTGGTGCACGCTTGGCTGAGCTTACAAGACTCAAATTAGAATATGACTCTGCAAAGAGTACACTAAAAGGGTTGCAGCATGATTTAGCTGGGCTAGAAGAAAGATTATCACCGGAGGATCTTCAAGGCGACCGTGACCGGGTAGTTCTAATTCAAGAGAAGGAGCAGCTGCTTAGGGAATTCCGAAGTGTGCGATCCTACACACATGACCCGCTACAGGTACACTTGAGCTTTTCTTTGAATTAGTTCATATACTTGCTTCATCTTTGTAGTTTCAGTAATTTCATTATGCAAAACAGATCTCCCTAAATGCCTTCAACATTAAAATTTTAGATTAACCTCGGTCATCTATATAAATAGCTCATGGAGTAGACCTAACCTCACTCTGTCTGAACTTTGTGTACATAATGTTTTCTCCTACTTACAAGTTTTTGGTAGTTCAATTTTGTTTCTACATTGTGTTTGTGTTTTTTTTTTTTGAGAGGCAGCTAAATATATGAGATTGATTATTTCAAATTTGGAGGTCTTCAGATAGTTATCTTTGCATAAATTGTAGGGACTGCTTTCTATTAAAAATGATTTTACTCAGCTTTTTCATAACAGGGTAAATGATGTACAATATAAATACTTAATATTAAAATTTCTGTTATATATGGTTAATTCTTTAGGTATGTGAACTGGAGGATAAAATCAACCAACTGGAGTGTGACTTAGCCAAGGCCTTAGAGGTTAGCAATAAGGCAGTGGCTGAGCGACTGTCTTTACAAGAACAACGACAAGATCTTTTGTGCCGTTTGCGTGACACTGTGCGCATTATGGTGGGTCTTGAAGGACAGCTACGTTCATTATCTGCATCAACTCTTTCTGTGTCGTCTTCATCATCACTTGGATCACTCTCCACATCGAGCAAGGGGTCATTATCCAGCTTGTCATTTACTGATATATATGGTGGACAGCAATACTCGTCAAGTGAACATGTTGCTCTTAACATGACAGAACTTCAAAAGCGTGTTGAAAGGTTATTAAAGTCCAACTCTGAAGCGGACAGGCAGTATGCGGAAAAATTGCGGTCATTAGAAGGAGGTAGTGGAAATTCAGCCGCATTGTCTCAGTCCATGTTATCCTTATCTCCGCGGAGCTCCCTCTCTTCTCTATCCCCACCTACCTCTGCCTGTGAAGCTCTTTCAGGCATGGACCCTCTTGGGCCACCTCGGTTTACTCCAGGGGAAGGGGGCTGTGCAGGAAATGGACCACATGCCAATGTAGATCTTAGTACGGTACAGGACCGCTTAGCAGAATTGTGTCTTGCTCCTTCGACTGAGCCTGGTGCTTTGTCCACGTCACATGTGGCAAAGGTTTCTGTTAAACAGTTGGACTCCACGCTAGCAGGAAACAAACAAGTGAAAGAATTGACAGAATATGATTTTAATGTTGCAAACACGAGTGTTAGTGGTGTGTTATTAGGAAGGGCGAGTGGTGATAGTGATGTGTTATATGAGGATGAGGAGGAGGAAGGCTGTGTTGGTGAAAGTGAAGATGGAAATATACGAACAATGTCAGCGGCAGTGAGTGACGAATCTGTAGCAGGAGACTCGGGAGTTTATGAAGCCTATCCCAAAGGATCAGCCTCGCCACCGGAAACACCACAGGTGCAAATTAAATTAAGGTAAGACTTGTCAATAGTATGTTAGATGTTTTATGGTATATTTAAAACCTGTGTGTTATTCATATAACCAGATTGATGGTGTTAAAATAGGCTTCACTTTCAAGCTTAGTTAAAAGCCTTTTATCCATGCAAAACAAAAAAAAGTTGTGTAGCTGGCTGGGGTGGGGGAAGACTATGGAGGGTCCCTGGTACTCTTAACCCTTCCTGGGTTTTTTCTTCTGCGGAGGGTCTACTGCTTGAAGCACAGGTTTTACTTCTCTTGTTTGTGTTTGAGTTGATTTCATCAGCTACTACCCCTTGGGTGCACTTCTGTGTCCTGTTCAGGTCCACAGATGCATCTTATTCCTAGAGGCACACGAGGAGTCACAATAACGTGGCTGAAATATGTTGACCAAATCACACACTAGAAAGTGAAGGAACGATGGACGTTTCGGTCCGTCCTGAACCATTCTTAAGTCTATTCACAATCGACTTGAGAATGTTCCAGGATGGACCGAAATGTCATCGTCCCATCACTTTCTAGTGTGTGGTTTGGTCAGCTTATTCCTAGAGGTTTCTGTTGTTCTGCCTTGCATCTTTGGCTTGGGTATGGCTTCAGGACCTTGATTCCCTTATTATCCTGGCCTCTCAGATTTGGGTTGGCTTTTGCCTTCTGACTCTGTTCTGAGGCTCCTGATTCATCCTTGCTTGCTGGCAGCCCTCTGGTTTTCCTTGAGGGACATTGCATGATTTTTACCATGCTTGGGTGCTGAAACAACAGGAGTGGGTTACATCATTCAGGTGTTCTTGGGTGGTGCTCATTTGTATTGCTTGAGAGCTGCTTGTTTTCTCTGGTTCTCCCGAAGGACATGGGGAGGTGGCAACTTTTTGTCTGGGGTACCTTTGCTCTTTGGAGCCTTCACTGTGGAGGGTCGCAAGGCTCGTGTTCAATTGGTGGTGGTTTTGTCTGCCTGAGTGATTGTTGAGATGCCTTCTGAATAGCTCTGTGTCAGTTTAAATGTTCTGACATCTGTGCTTGGTATGGCTGCCTTGTTGCCTGCAGTTCCTACTACAGCAGCTCTGCCCTAGTTGTTCACTGCCCTCCTTTGGGTGGTGACAGTGGCAGTGGCATTTTTCTGGCCCTTTTAAATGTCAGCAGGCCGTACTGGCCTGGGCATTGGTTTCAGCTTTGGCCATTGCCCTCTTGTCCACACTCCCCCCCCCCCCCTTTTGTGCTTCTCTTCCCTATGGGTTGTTTATTCAGTCCATTCAGCAGTGACTGCTGTTTTCCAGGCATTTGTCAGGTCCTTTTGCAGAAGGGTTGCGTTGCCCTTCCTGCTTGGTGGTGGTGATCGCTCTTATTGCCATGGGTTCTTGTTTATTCCCAGTCCTTGAGTATTGATGGGCCTCGGTGGGTTCTTGCCCTCGTGTGTCCATACTGTGTCTTTCTACCATGACTGACCTTTCATGTGATCTTTTCACTCGTGTACATCTGGTTTTATAGGTACGTTCCTGGTTGATGGCGTTCCTGGTTGTTGTCCCTGGATGTTGTGTCAGGGCGCATTCCTGTTTCCTTGAGGCTCCAAGATTAGAGTTTCCTTGTTCAGGTCTTGGTCTTTTTCATCAACTGGCTGGTTTGGGCTCCCAGCTGGTCTTCTCTGTACAGTACTGGTAAGCCCTGGGTTCTGGTTCTTTCCCAACTTACCAGGTTCAGATTCTTGGTGGACTGGCAGAAGTCCCAGTTGGTACTGTCCAGGGTTCAGACTTGGTTTGACTGGTTTGGGATTCATAGTTTGCTTTTCCTTCTCTGCTCTGCCTGCATTGCCGACTGATGTTGGAATAGCCCTGGGTGACTCAGCAGTTGGTTGACGCTTGTGTGGTGTTTCCACTGGGCAGGGTTTGGTTCTTGGTGTTGTACTGGTTTTGCTGTTTTTGCCACTGCTGGGACTGTTGAGTTTGGGCCTCATTTGCCCTTTGTTTGCTCTTTCATCATCAGCATCCTCTTCTGGCTTTTTGGGGTTTGGTTCTGTGAAACTTTCCTTCACTGTTTGATGTGTTTGCAGACGCCTTGGTTCTGGGTTGGGTTTGATTTCCAGTGCTCACCAAGCCTCCCAGGGTTGTTGCTTGGGTCTGCTCCTTCGTGTACACAGCACGGTGCACAAGTTTGCAGTGGTGTGGCAGGTTCTTCAGAGGGTTCAGATTTCTCTGGGCTGTGTTCTCCAGCAGTGGGAGGAGCCACCTTGGTCCTTCCTATGTAGAGCTGGACTCAACATTCAATGCTGGGTTTTGAAAGGTAATGTCATTTCCCCAAAATGGTGTAGATGAACTTGGGTCACCACCTATCCCTCTGGTCTGTATATTCTGACCCTGTGTATTAAGCATATCCGGACATCACCCACTTATCCGAATACTTTTTCAGTGAATCGGGTGAATAAATTTTGCCTGGAAAGTGTGCATTGCAACCAGGGATCTGCTGAATAGAGGTTACACTGTATAGCAGTGTTTGAACCTTACCTTACTGTAGGGGGCATCACTTAATTACTGTAGGGGGCATCACTTAATGTAGGTACATCACTTCAGTGGGTAAATACGTGATGGTGCTGCTGCTTCTGATTTTCACTTGGGCGAGTAGAGTAGCTATATGTTACATTTAATTAATTTGTTCAGGCTGCACTAACTGATTTTTATTTGTTTGGTGACTAGTTTTGGTTAGACTACCTAGGCATCTAGACTTTCTCCTTGGTGTTGGGCATGGTGTGGATTGGTGTGGCCTCAGGTGTGGGTTGCTAGTTTTTGGTCTATAGCCGGTGTACGTGTTAACGAAGTTGTGTAAGTCTGGTTTAAGCTCAGGCCATGCAGAAAACATCGAGTTCTGTATATTTTCAGGTTTTGGACTTCTTACACTTCCACTGGCTCTTTACTGTTACAGTACTTCCTTGGTCTGTTCCCCTAGGGCCTTATCCATACCTGCATAAATTTTCAGGTTCTGTCTGTGTACCTTGTTTGGTGCTATATTCCCACTTTTATCTACTGTGCTGTATCTCTATGGGTGCTTCAGCCCATGCTGCTTCTGTTAAGTTTGAGCACATTCATTGTTTGTGTGTTTAAATTGGAATTAGCTGGAAGGAGCAACCAAGAGCCTTCAGCTCAGAAATATAGAATTAAGTGAAATTTAACACTGCTTTTTAAACCAGTCTTTCACTTGTTTTCCTTCCCTCCCATTTTGTCCCATTTAATCTGAGCATTCTTGGGTGGCCTGAGTATTGAGTATTTTTGTTCAGGTGGTCCTACCACCTGGTGGTAGTCAATGTAGTCGTTGATGGCTCAGCTGGTAGCTAGCAGAGTAAAATACTGTATACTAAAATTTTTGTTTAGAGGGGTTTGTTATATATAATGCTCATTATTTTGTGCAATAGTGAGTGCGTCTCTTGGTGGTGAATCACATTAGATTTCCTGCTGGCTTTCTTTCCCAAATACTTGACAAAACTATTTCATAAGTTACTGGCCATGGTAGGTGATCAAGTCATTAAAACCTGATGGGCTGGCCCATCCTCTCGAATTGTCACAATGGACAGAAAATGGTGTACTAAAAGGATTGAACCTAACATATCAACCATGCATAGAAAACATGAATGTTTGTGAGATTCTATGATTTATAGAACCTCTTTATTTGTCCACTTGGAATTTTGACTTTGATATACAATGTACTATGTGAGAGGATCAGTTGGATTTGCAGAACATGTCTGTGCACCCATATATATGTGTTCAACTTATGAACACCTCACTTTGACTTAAAACAACCTCCTGAATCCCTGTTTTAGTATCTTAATATGCATATGAATCAGTTGCAATGTTCCTGCAGTGAGTACAGTGCTACTTTTGCATAGGCATATATGTGCATTGTGGCTGACCTACACTGCCCAGTCCTCGGTATTTTTATGCCCAGTGTAGATCCACTGTACATTTTGCAGTTTATTTTGGCTATTTATTAAGGAAAATACTTCTAATAATAGCTGATAAGAAGAGGAGCCTGGCCTCGGGCCGGGCTTGGGGAGTAGAAGAACTCCCAGAACCCCATCAACCAGGTATCAACCAGGAGAAATGTTGTGCACTGATGCCAAGGCAGGAGCAACCCATTACAGTTGAAACAAAAGTGGAGATGATCAAACAGCCGTGGACATTTTCAAGAGAAAACTAGATAGTTTTCTTCAAGAAGTACCGGACCAACCAGGCTGTGGTGGATATGTGGGCCTGTGGGCCGCTCCAAGCAACAGCCTGTTGGACAATGCTCTCACAAGTGTATCCTGGCCTTGGGCCAGGCTTGGGGAGTAGAAGAACTCCCTGAACCCCATCAAGCCGGTATCAATAGTACCGAGAAGGACGAAATGCTAACAAAGGCCACACATGTGCTTTTTGTTAGTCATTCCACAATGGTGTGATTACAGTACAGTGTTATTAGGGACAACACTTGAATTTTAGCACATGTGAAGGTTTCTGTACTAGAATCATCTTATCAACCTTATGCTCATCCAGGAGAAAGCTGAATGTCTTTTTGAAAATGTTAAAAGAAATTAGGTGTACTGTAATTGCAAGTGATAAAACATTTATAATAAGTCGTAGATGGTTCAAAAGATTCAAGATTAGTAATTAAACTTCTTCACTCTTCAAACATGACCAAATCTCAGGATAACTTCAACATTCAAAGTAAATAATGTGCAAGTTACGTTACATTAGTTTTCCAAATTTTTGTTGTTTTGTTTGTTGATATTTGGTAGTCTGAAAACTTATCCCTCATCTATAGCATTATGCCTAGGTAAATCTGGTTGCAACTTATGAACAACTGTTTTACAAATGGAAGTTTGGGACCCATTGCATTGCTAAGTTAAGGCCTTACTGTATAGGCCACTGGGTGAAGAAAAGACCCGAGTGATTTGCTCAGAAAAAGAGCAATTCATTCCACTCAGTGGCCTAATATTTTTAGCATTCACTGTGACACATCCTAAATCTTAAATGGTACCAAATAATATGTTGTTAAAGTGATAGTTGTTTGGTTTCAGATTTATATTTTCATTAGCAAAGTTTTTTCTTATTTAGAGAATTAATGGATTCTAAAAATAATAAGCATATTTTAATATATTAGTACATGCTCAAGGTACATTTGTTGAATGGTGCTCTTAAAGAATAGTTAACAGATTGTGTCTGTCCTTGGTGTGTGTTTCTATCACGTGTTTCATAACTACTTAAGGTTTAATAGTGTTTGTTTCTTCTAGCTCTACACTATTGACTGAGCAACTTTACCTTTTGCTTTGCTCTATTATAAGCATAAAATATGGCACAGTTGTGCTGATATGTATTTCTTGATTTAAAATGTGTGTGTTTTGACAAATGTGTACTGATTGTCAATGTTGGCAACGTTTTCTAGCTCAGAGTGTAATTGAAATTATTTTTTGCCATCCCCTACCCCCTAGGTACAGCAAACAGGAGAGCTTGCTTAACGTGGGGGTGGAGAGGGCACGGAACCTGTCCATGCTCAACACGGAGGAAGGCTGCAAAGTGTAAGTTTTGTCATTTGTTATTGAAGGTGTATGAACTAATATTCAAATCTCACTTGCAAAATATGTTACGTGGGGTGATGCACAAATGTCAGTATGCTCAACTCCTACATAATTTCAGTATGCCAAGTTCATCCATCTCTTGTGTGTTCAACTACCAGTAAAGTATATCAGAACTGACTGATGACAGTATTGTCATCTGGTCTCCTATTTAAGTCCTCTACTTAAACTTTAGAAACTGTTCACGTTTACATTATTTTATTATAGTACTATATGATGAAGAAACAGGGGAATGCCTTTATTTATATTATCAAAGGCTGAAGGATATTGTCCTTTTGAATTATTTTTAGAATATACTGTTGCACTACTATACTGTTGCAACTACTATAGCCTAGCCTATATTTATGAGCGGTTCACTTGTAAAAGCGATCTGTGATAGTAATTGACAGGCTTGCAACATTTCCATGATTTTTGTCTATAAATATCTTGAATTAAGTACATAATTCTTTGATATTTTATGAATGTTACAGAGTCTATTTGTAAGATTTGTTAGGGCTACCTTTCTTGGCTGGAAATATATGACAAAATATTACATCATACAGATGCTATTAGCTTGGGAGACACTTCACAATTTTCATCAGAATTTTGTTTTAAGTGGTTTTTACGCAATATCATAGGAGCACCTTTATTTTGTACACCTTTTTTGTCTCATTTGACTTGTCACTCTAGCAAGTTTTGCTCGTTTTTGAGCTTGTTCGTAAATATGGCCTATGTGGGGTAGGTTTCTTCCTTCATTGATTCTTCTTTTTCATTTTTATATTCTTAGCTTATTCATATTTTTCAATAAATCAGTCTAGTTTTCTTGCACCTTTATTTTATATATAAAAATTTGATGCCTTTGTTATATACCATACATAGTTCATAAAGTTTTGCATGCATCTCACTCACATCCTCTCTGAACAGCAAATTATCCAAGCAGATTCACTAAAGAACTTTCTTTTGAAATTAAACATCTTGATTACCTCCAGTACTCTTGTACAGTATATTGGTGTCATTTGTACAATTTTATGAATGTTGTGTGACCTGCTTTGAAACTGATAGGTTGCAGATGATTATCAGTACTGGAGAGTATGTAGTTCATTTTGGTAACATTAGATTGAATATGGATAGTTATATAATGGTGCCAGGGACTACCATTCTTTACAGACATGACAGTGAAGCAGTATCAGCTAGTGAGCAAGGAGGGGGTGTTAGATGCAATTCAAACTTGCATGCTGGGGATGTGGATTAGAAAGGTCTCTTTGCCTAAGATGTCTTGGGTTACCAGAGAGTCATTATCAACTAGTCTAGGCAAGGTGGTAAAAGTGTAGTTTGTAAAATATATCTTTCTGGTTTGATATTCTGGCATAGGAGACTGGAAATGCCTTCCCGAATGTCCCTCCTGTAATCAAATAACAACTAGATCTTAATTAGTCTGATGTAATATTTCAATTAAATCTTAACAAATTACTTTATTAATTGTATCATAATATCTTGAAATACTGATTGAAGCTTATCACTAGTAAATATTTTAAAGATTATTTGTTATACAAACATGACTGGGTATTTTGTACACTATAAACACACCAGAGATGTAATCTCCTGCATTTAGTCATCCCCCTCATATGTGCAGTGTGTTAACTTGTATTGAGATACTGTATTTGAACTAAAAATTAGGGAAGATATTTGAGTGAAACTAAGCCCCCCATGTAAGGTAAGAGTGTGGGACACGCAGGGGTAACAGTATGGGACATGCAGGGTAAGGGCATAGGATACGAATGATATACAATAAGACACAGGTGCATACTGAATCAAATGGATACAGTTTGTTGTAACAGAATGATGGTAAGAGTCCCAACAATCTAGGTTGAGATTACAGTGAGATATCAAATATAATTTTTAAGTACTTGTTGCAGTATTTTTTTATCTAATGAGAAATATTTCTAAATTTTGCAGGTGTATTAAGGTACAGCTGTTCCCTGCAGGTGCAGCGACATTCACTTGCTGCACGCACCTGGACACTAACACGGAAAGACCAACTTTTGGGGAAACATTTGCATTTCCTGTGGCACCGCGTAAGCTACCATCCAAGACACTGCAAGTCAATGTGTGGGCAGTCAGTGACACCAATGAGACTTTCGATGAGGAGTGTGTGGTAAGTGTTGGGACAGGTTTTCACCATATCCTCTAAAACATCATAATAGATTTTGTTATTTATTTAATGCAGCATAAAAGGTGTTGATATATTCATACCATAATCATTATCTCTTTTTTTTTCTTTTTATAGTGTAGTAGTGAAGCATTAGCCTGAAGATAGAGAAGTGAAGTAGACAAAGTGGGCTGATTATTTTCAAAGTGAACTTCTCCATTCATAATACTTTCCACACTCAGTAGCATCACAGATATCTGGCAGCATTACACATCACACTAGCAAATTATCTATAGTAGCCTCTCAGATACTTATATCTCGGGTATTAAATGTTCCTTGTTATCAGACATTCCGGAAACTCAATCAAATGGAAACGGAACAAGCTGCTTCCTCTCTTCCTTTTTCATTACCATTTTTAATATGTTCACTTAATCAACAGGTTTTCATACTCACTGTATCTACCCATTGTCTTGCCTTTCTCTACATGACTTTAAGTTTACGTGAATAAACTCGCCACTACTATATCTTGTTCCTCAGTTCTATACCATCTTAGTACATGTTCCCCAGTTCTATACCATCTTAGTACATGTTCCCCAGTTCTATACCATCTTAGTACATGTTCCTTTACCTTCCAGTTCACTGACTTTTGCATTACACTTCTTTCCATGACAGTCATTCATTATTATAATTGTTTAAGTTTATATAAAGGAAGGAATTGCCCACTTAAAGTGCATAACCTTAGGAAATAAAATCAACTTGAAAGTAAAGAAAAACTTTACATCTTTTCACTGTTCTATTCTCTCAACTTTATTGTGCATCAACCTAGCACATCAAACTCCCTCTCTTATAATTTAATCACTTCCTGCTTAGTTTGGTCCTCGTTTATTGTTCGCATATTTCATCTGGCCAAATGTACTTTTTTGTTTTTCGATGCCTGGGTAGGCATCTGTCCCGGATTAAAGTTCATTAAAGGCTTTTGAATAAATTTCAAATTCTCACAAGTCTCAAAATTTTAAAGCTTCAATTTTTGAAATGATATTGGTTAAAATTATTAATACTATATATCAAATTACTTCCTATTTTTTTGCAGGGATATGCTCAAATTAGTCTAGCAGACTTCTGCCTAGACTCGCCACAAACTCGGTGGTACAATATTCTCAACTTTGCTATGCTGAGACCAGACCATTTGACCCGGGATGACCAATCTTCCAAATCGTCAACCTTGCGATCTTCCGTCTCGGCTTCAAATGTTAAAGTAAGAAGGGTGATCAGAAAAGAAAGCTTCTCATTTTGTTCAGTCTTTATATGAAGTGTTGATCAAGGAAATTAAGAACAAAATTTGATGAGGATAGCTGAGAATCAGAAATTGAGAGTTCGAGACTGCAAGGAATTTTTTATTGTGTGTGTGTGTGTCTTGGTAAATAGGAAATGAGGAGAGTCCAAGAACACATGGCTTTTAGCCCCTGTATGTGCAAGTGTGTATACAGTACATAGTTATGTAAAATAGGAATGATGGGAGTGAATTGATTGTAAATTTGCTGCAGATAAAGACTTGTTTTTTATTTAACATGAAGCTCTAGTATGCTTGTTCAATGTGGCAAATGAAAGTAAAATACTGTAGGCAATTTAAATTTATCTGGAGGAAGATATTTTCTGTTTGGCAAGTATTCATTAAATATGTACGCACACTGATGCTTTGATTTTACCTGATTGCCCTGTTATGTACTAAACAGGAGGAGAGTAGTGATGAATCCACAATCATATCATCACAGACCTCTACTTTAACTCGTAACCTTGGACCTGAAGCCTTGCGTCTCAACCTACACCTTACCTCGGAGGACTTCGAGCACGTCATAGATTCTGATGATGACGACGATGAAGAGGAAGAGGAAGAAGAACTAGAAGCAGGCCAGGAAGAGGTCATGGAAGAAGCTCTGGAAAATGCTGTAAGTTGATTCTCACTGGGAATCAGACACCCAGCCATGTGGAAGCTGTTTTTGATTTGAGGCACATAATTTTTTCCACCACAGTTTTGGTGTGCCTCTATTTTTTTGTGATAATTTGGAATGTTTGTATCCTACTTTTACTCTCAAATGCTATGCCCTTTATTAATTTTTGCTTAAACGTTATAAATAACATGCTGCTGTCTATTTGCATGATTTTTTCCTTGTCATTTAATATTTTTTGACCTCACATGCTTATATTAGCCTTGTCATGGAAGTTTCATAGTCTGTGTTTTGGGTAAAGGGGTGGGTATGAGCATAGGAGGTTTACTTTTGCAATACCAAAAAGTTATTTTTCATTAATGAAAAGAATATGAACACTTGGGTGTTTGATGTTGAATTAGTAATAGCTTTGTTAGCACTTTGGCTGCACCATTGCATGATTGTTGTGCTGATGTGGCAACATTGCACGCTTGCACAGGAGGACACAGCTGTTGAGGGAGACTCGACTGATCAGCTGGTCGAGATGGCTGATAAGGAGACCAACACAGAGTGCATGTTTATGCCCCTGTCGGCCAGTCTGGCAGGGTCACGCACGTCCCTCGCACCTCCAAGGGTCGAGGGGACCGACCCCAAGCCTGGAATCCCAGTGATAAAGAGGTCGCAGACCTTTACTCCATCTGCTGCAGTGGGCAAGAGCCACTACGTCTGTCGGGTAAGTAGTTGTGTGTAAAGTAAAATGCCTCTCATGACTGGTAACTATGCTTTAAATTAAGTCATAACCATATATAAGCAGGTAATTTTTTAGTTACTATTGTGTAATCTATTGATGTTTATATATTAGAATTATAGTATTAACTTGACATTGTAGCTACCTGATGATCATCCTAAACATACTTTAGATTCTAATCCTGGCAACTTTCACCTATATTTATCATAATGCACAATATTTTTGGCTTTTCAATACATATTTTTTTTTATTTAGTGAGTTTTTAGATTAGATTTATCCTCTAATCCATTAAATACAGTAATATGTTAGTAATTTAAATTTAACCAATACAGTACATACTAGCATGGTTTTTAAACTTATGTGAACAATGTAACAACTTACTTCAACTTTGCTTGTATTTTGTGATAGATAGATATATATATAATATATAATATATATATATATATAATAATAATAATTTATTTAGATACTTAGCAGTCCCTGTGGCACAGTGGTAAAGCACTCGCCCGGCGCTTTGCGAGCGCTTTGGCTTGGGTTTGTATCCTGGCCGGGGAGGATTGACTGGGCGCCACTCCTTAACTGTAGCCTCTGTTCACATAGCAGTGAATGGGTACCTGGTTGTTAAACAATTTGGTGGGTTGTATTCCGAGGAAAAATTGGTATTAAGGACCTGCCCAAAACACTATGTGTGCTAGTGCGTTTACAAGAATGTAAGAACTCTTGTATATATATAAATCAAAGTAAATAAATAAAAAAAGATGCTAGCACTATTTACTTCAACTTACCTTGTCTTTATTGTTTTAGCTGAACCGCAGTGACAGTGACAGCTGTGTGCCCATGTACAGAAGGGCACCATTCCAACGTGGAACAGCAGAAAGGAGATCTTTGAGATGGAAAGGACGTCTTGGGGGATCTTTAAGATTGTCATCTAGGTCACCTGGGTCATCAGGTAAATATATAAAGAGCCTTGCTGTTCTTTTATGCAGAGTTGTGAATTGATCATAAACAGAGATCGCCTATGTGTCCCGTATTTGTATTCAACTGTGTAGATCATCTCCTAAGTAGCTACAGTATTTATTTGAACATCAATTTTTCTTTGATACTTTGACTCCTGCGGTAAATCATCTGTTATTCACTAGCTTTAAAGTGTTAAGAGAAGTATGAAAGAGCACTTGAAACATGTTAAAAAATTTCAACGTACAGTACCAGTTTCAAGTATAATACAGTACTGTAAATAAATTTTACTTTGGAAAGAGAGGATTGATTCTTATCAAATTCAGTATTTTTAATCTACATTTGTTCTAAACCTCTCCTCATTTGAAATGTCTTATTATTATTATAAATAATTATTATTATTTATTAATTCTTCTTTAATCCAAAAAGTGTCTTGTTTACAAATTTTAATTTGTATTCAGCTTCTTGGATGGTAGGAATTACCCAAGTGTAGTTACAGGATAAGAACTACACACGTGGCCCATCTTACCAGTACTCTGTATCATAGGAAGCATTGAAACTACCGACAGTTTAGGCCTCCACCACTTTCTCGCTTAACTTGGTCCAACTGTCTACCATTATGTTTGCAAAAGTGTACTTTCTAATGTTTTTTCGGTAGCTTTGTTTTAACCTACGTCCTCTTGTTCTTGAAGTTGCAGTTTAAAAAAAAATTCTTTGTCAATTTTGCCAACAGCTGTTACAGTATTATTATGTACATAGTGATCAAATCACCTCTCCTGTGTCTTCTACCCTTGATATATTTAAAGCATGCCTTTGCAACTTTTCCAGCTTAATGATGTTCTTGAGATATGGACACTATACAATCACTGCATATTCCAACTTTGGTACAAGTATTACAAAGGTCGCGAACAATTTCTTTAATATTCCGCATCCATGAATTTAACCACTGTGCTGCGCCAGTCAAGAAATGATGATGTTAGTATATCATAATAATTGAAAAACCAATGGAAACAAGGGGCACACATATACTTCCTCAGACCTCAAGTAACCAGCCCCCATCTTGAAAAAACATCTTGAGTCCCTCACTTTCCTTTCAGGGACTTGGTAATGTGTTCTAGGTTACTTAGGCCTATGAAACGATCCCAAAGTCATGGTTTTAGGAATGTGTAGGGCAGCCATACTATGAGCCACTGAAAGTTTAACAGCAGCAAGTTAGTGATTATCATTATATATATCAGGCAAAATGTGTGCTATGACCAGTTATAAGATTTAGGCTTATATATAGGCATACATATATTAGTATGGAAAATACATGATGTACATATATTTATGCATATATATCTGTATATATATACCAGTATATATATATTTTCAAAGTTATACATAATAAATACCATCTTTGACACATAGATACAACTTATTAGAGCAAAAAAAAAAAAACTCAATAAATACAGTGAGAAACATTGAAAATATGTCATCAAAGTTATTCCAATGCAGCAAATCTCCTAATTTTTACCCAAAAATGCAACTTCCCCAAACAACTTCGGCTAAACTATAAGAGATAGAGACTTTGTACTTGGATTTTCATGATTTCTGGGTGCTAATTAACAATACCAAAAGAACAAATACTGTTTTTGGAACACTTTAGTTTCTGCACACAGCCAGAATGTCACAATAAATGCAGTAAGTACATCACATTGGTTTAAAGTGATTCTAAAGTTGGAAAGTGCAGCATACGCTTTCAAAGTACAGGTACAATGTTCTTTATGTGGGTCTTGGGTGAAAGTTTTATATCCAAAACTACCCCTAGAGCTCTTTCTTTATCAGAATTCTTTAAAGCTTCCATTTGCCAAGTGTTGCTCTAAACAATACACTTTGTCCAGGTCTTAATGAAGGGAATCAATCATCTAAGTTTCTTATCTTTCCTAGTAGCTTAGTGATCAGCAAACATGAACTGTGGATGTTTTACGAGCTGCCGCAATCAGCACAGGTTGATATTTTGCACTAGTGTGTGCAGGGAACCTTTCTAATAGAAAATATGGCCCAAGTAACTCAATACCAGGCCATAAGTATTCCCAAGAAAAAGATTATCATTCAAAATATTAAATTTGAATTATTAAATGATCCCAATAAGCATACTCACTAAAGATTTTTTCTGGGAGAGCGCCTGGTGGCTCCCTGAAGCTATCTTGCTGAGATTGCTCCATGATAAAAGGTTACTTCAGTTGTGGAAGTTCTGTTTGGCCTACCAGGAAATAGCCATTTCCTGCTCGCCTCCTCACAGAGAGCACATGACAATTCATCACCCCACAGAAAAAACATCCAGGAAGTCAGCAAAGCTTTAGACAACTGGAGGGTTTACAAAAAATGATGCTTTGAAAACTGCCAGATAAATCTGTAAGCGATTCACACAGAACAAGGGATTCACTCAAACTAGCTCAAATCTTGTTACTGTAGTAAGATAAGATATTTATTCAGGTAAAGGTATATACATTGAAAATGAGTTACAAACATGATGTTGGAGAGCTATAGAGCTATAGATAGATAGAGCTAGTACATACAATGCCTAAAGCCACTAGTACGCACAGTGTTTCGGGCAAGTACTGATCACCATCATCAAGTGGCCTGGCCCCTGCCTGCAGCAGCTGTCTTGGTCAGTTCTGTTGTTGATGTTATGGTGGAAAGTTTTACCAGTAATTCTCCTATCTGCGCGTCATTACTGGTAGCCCCTCTAGGTCAAGCTAATTACCAGCTGTCTGTGGTCATACTGTGGGCTCCATTTGCTTGTGTATTGTTCTTTGATTTTAGTGTTGGCTTCATATGTATGTTTTTTTCTGGCTTATATAGGGTTGGGCATTGTTGTGGTTGGTTGTGCACTCGGGACTTTCTTGCTGGGTTGCCACTAGCACTGCCCCTGCACTGACAGTTATCTTCTCAGGTGTGTTTGGGAGTTGGCCCCTGAGAGGCCAGGCCACCAGGGTGGGGTGCTTTGCCTTGGACTATTTAGTTCTTTGATACATCCTGTTTGGGCCCTTGGCTGGGGACATTCTTTGGTTGTGTTTAGGTTCATATACTTGTTTATATGGTGCACTGCAGTCACCATTCCTAGCCGGGTTATTTTGGGTGCATTTGGTGACATCTCTGTAAGCACCTGATCTCAAGTCAAAATAATTGCACTTATTTACTAAATCATGCCTGTTGACTGCAGTCATCAAAAACGTTCAACAGAAGGGTTAAAGGCTAGTGGGAAAAAGGGTAAATTGACGTAAAGAATATTGAAAGACAGAATTCTTTGCATTTTTTAGGTGAAAAACTAAGAAAATCTTCATAGATGTCTAATTGCCAATCTTGAGTTAGATAGCTTACTGTTTGTCATGTAAACAAGTAACTTATTTCTTATACTTCAAATATCAGGAATGAAGGGCGGTCGAACTTCCCTGGATCTCGAGCTGGATCTAGCAGCCCAGCAACGGCGTCTCCGTCAACTGCACGAAGAGTTGGAGGGATTAAGAATCCTCAAGAATCAGTTAGAGAGCGTGAAGAATTCGCCTGACCCTCCATCATGGTTGGCTGACCAGACCACCATGACCAGTGTCCTAACACAGGTAAGTTGTCGAAAAGCATTTTCTCATCAGTAACTCTGTTTGTACATTACTTTTTATGACCACTACCATATGCAATATCACATCACTCCATATATATACAGTGGATGTGCAGTTTGTGTCTATACTATGTGTGAGGTTTGAATCATTTACATATGATAGGTCATGCTACTCTGAATTAACCAGGAAGAGGGACTTCTGGCTTGTGATCATGCATCAAATATTAAATATATTGTTGGCTGTAATACTATAGAAGTAAAGGTTCCAGATTTCAAAAGAAAAAGTTTAAAATGCAAGGGTTATCAGTAAATAGCTATTTATTTAGGTAACCTTAACTTATTGTCCACAGACTGTGATATTCATTATGTTAATTGTCATGAAAAGCTATCAAACAGAGACACATGCAGTCCAATTGAATGATGATTGTTCTAAAAAGAGCCACTTAGGCTACTTGTAATGATTACAGTATTGCTCTCACCTACCACTAGTAAATTGTGGCACTACACTGGAGTTCCAATCAGGTTCTTTGGAATCATCAGTTTCCATGCACATTCATGAACATACTAGTATAAATGATATTCAGCATAACAGTAATGACAAAATGACTGACGTGTGCAATACAAGTGCTGTCACAACCCCTGAATGAAACACACAGGCCGTTGTTTCTGATCACTTTCTCACAATGTATTGATTGAAGGTCACCCTCCATCTTGTAATTCGAACTTTGCACCTGTACAGATATGATAGCAAATTATAATCGGGCAAAACTATCAATTCAGTTCTTACATTGCAATTGGGAAATCCAGATATCTTCTTGCATGTTGGTGCACACCATCAATCATACCAAACACATCTGCCTTCATTATTTCCTGCATACAGTTTAATATGAGATTGGTACAAGAGCATGACGTAGATTAAATTCATGTGAGGAGGTAGCGTTGCGTCATGTGGCATGGGCAGCTGAGGGGATGCACACATTTTCTGTGGTAAATCGTGCGCTTCCTCTCACAAAAGCTTGTTACACAGCAAGTACCCAAACAATAAATTTTTTCCCCACATAAACTCATGATAACTATTACAGATTTCTTGCCTAGTCCAATGCTGTATGTTACTCTTGTCTCTTAGTTACTTCTGTAATGACAATAAATAAAGAGGTATGCAAATTCTGATTCCTTTAGATTCGTGGTTGATCCTCTAATGAATTATGCTATACAGTAGTTAACTTGACACTAGCACCTGACAAATGCACATTTCAACTATGGGCCATTAGAGGATAGAGCAACATTGTGTTAGCAGATTGGTGCTGAATGGCCTTTGGCTGGGGTCCTTCTAGTGCCTGTATACATTTCAATGGTTTCTCTTGAGGAAAGTCAATCCGGCAGAAGGTATTGTAGGCCTGGTTTAAGATTGGCTGGCATCTTGGTTGTCTTAGTGCCCAATGATACCATGAGGCCTGGGCAAACAAAGAGACCCTCATCTCACTGTCTCTTGCAGTTAAGGGCCTGACCTTCTGGCTGGGATGCGACTCCTAGCCGCCAAACTTTCCCCTCCTTCCCTAACAACTACCATTAGGAAACCCATTTTCTTGCATAATTAGTGACACAATGTATGCTACCCTGCCATTGATATTGAGATGAGGGCTCCACCCACACCCAATATAACTAGTGTTTGACTGAAATGGAGGTATGTAGGCCTATAGCACAACCTCATGTGATTTACACACCTCATCTAGAAGGGTAGAGATGGGAAAACAACTCTCAACACTTTTAATCCTAACTTTACAGTACAGTACCTTAACACAAAATCTCTGCATTGATGATAAAAATTTGCCTAAAGGAGTATGCATTGCCTTGAACTCAACTTGCTCCCAAAATTTTTGAAACAAGTCATCATGGTTTCATTTGTGTACATCATTAAAAGGTAGTTTAAAGCACAGTAAACTCATTTGTGTAAATCTTCCTCACTTTTTAAACATGATGCTTCCTAAAACACAGGTCAAGCTCCATAGTAAACATCATTATCTAATTTGTGATGTCAACCTTTGACATACCAACCATGGATTAGATAACCATTGTGACCTATATTTTCATTTTAAGAATTGTGTAGTTATATTACTATAAGACCTTGTTCACACTAGTGATTTCTCCTGCATTATTTGACTTTGGATTATATCCATTGGCAAGATAAATATAAATATGATATAAATCCAGATTAAGGTAAAATACATTTATTTTATACCGGTTTGAACAGTATCATTGTTTAAACCATTACATATGCATTTGGATTCAGATAACCATATATAATGCACCTTTTCTCATTCCAGGCTACTAAGGGTGGTGGTGTCAAATCACCAGAAGATCGAAGGATGGAGAAAATGCTAAGGAAAACGTCAAGAGAAATTCACAAATTGCGAAATTCAAAAACTCCAAGAGGTCAGCCTGATGTTGTATCATTTAAGTAAGTAACAAAATAGCTTTTAGTTGATCATTGTGAGCATGAAAGAGTTTTTGATTAACCATTGTGTACTGCAGGTGAAAGAAACTATTTTTATCTGCTTTGTTCCTTGCAATCTTTCTCTTTGTTCAACATGCCTCTAGTTGTTCATCAATTACTGGCTCTGTATGCTCCCACTAAATTACTTAAACAAATTTTGTTCTGTAGAGTGAAACTTTTCATTTCTAGTGTTCTGGTATCCTTAATTATTCAATATACTGATTTTTGTATCAAAGACTGCTTTGTTATGTGTACTGCTTATAGGACTACCCATAAATACAGTACTGTACAGTATAAAGCTTTTATTAATGTTATACAGTGTGACATCATTCAAATAGACTGTTTGCATGCCACTCAAGATACAGTGGCCAATTGCCATTCCAGTGTATAAAACTGGTACAACAGTAGAAAATTGGATATGTTTTGGCTGTAAAGAGTTGTTTGACATGTTTCTTGGTGCTTCAATATGCTCCTCACATCTGATGCTGGTCTTTCGGCATTTGCATTGTCAGCAGGTGGTCGAGTTGTTGGTATCTCGCCTGCATCTATTGTCGTGCTGAAAGTGTGAAGTTTCTTGACCATCTATTCATCTTTGTCTGTCTTTTTTCATTGGTTGTCATCCAAATGGCTCGAGTGGTTTTACCCCTTTTGCCTTTGATTTGTTGATGGGCATCTTGTAACTTGGCCTCGTCAGAGCTGTTTTTGTATCAGCATCGGTACTTCATTGGTGCTATTCCATATGTTGTCTTGTGCTTTTTTCACCACTGGCCTGCTCATTCTCCTCCAGAGCCATCTTGGTCTCTGGATCAGGTGTTGGTCTTTTGTCCCCTCTGTTTTCAGTTGTCTCTTTGGTCTGTGATAACTCTTTCAAAGCACTGTTTTTACTGGCTCTTGCTTCTAGTTGTAAAGTTAGGGTTGGTCATGCTCTCCTATAGAAGCAGGTGCTCCAAGTGGGTCTGGACTGACCCTGTGAACTTGCCCATCAAAACATTCTTCCCTCATGTGAAGTGATTGTATATAGTACTATTACTGAAAGAATTTCTTTGCAAACTTTTTTTTTCATATTTTTGTTCCCAAGATCATGTATGGTAGCAGCAGCAATCATCATAAAGTTGCTAAGAGGAAGCAAGTTACATAATTAGTTAAGAATAATCTTAGTCATTGAACTTTGTGAAGATGACCATTCTACTGTGAATGTTGCCAGGAATTTTGAGTAGGCATTGTATTGACCGTATTGTATTGCATTGATGTATGATGTATGAATTCCCAACATTGGGAAATAAAGAGCAATACATTACTAGCAAGACCGAGGGCCTGTTTCTTTATGGCCATAAGTGTATTGCAAGTCAAGAAAATGTGGATGTTTCAGTTTTTTAATTATAGAGAATGGTTTATAACAACTGTTACACGTGAGTCAGAGGTAGTTTCCCAACAAAACGACTAATTTCTCGTCACAGTTCCTATGTCATTTTTATGGTTTGAAGCACCGCACTGTATGATACCTTGTGTTGGTGTCGGGGCTTTCTGTCCCCGCGGCCCGGTCATCACCCAGGCCTCCTCGTTGCTGGACTGGTCAACCAGGCTGTTGGATGTGGCTGCGAGCAGCCTGACATATGAGTCACAGTTTGGTTGATCAGGTATCCTTTGGAGGAGTTTATCGAGTTCTCTTTTGAACAAATCTTGAACGTGTAGTGTAGTGTTCTCTCTTGAATACTGCAAGGGGTCGGCCAGTTATACCCCTTATGTGTAGTGGAAACGTGTTGATACCTCTTGGTCTCATGTGGTTATTTCTGTGTGCAGGTTTGGGACCAGCCCCTTATTATTTTCCATATGTAAATTATTATGTATCTCCCCGCCTGCACTCAAGAGAATACAGATTTAGGCATTTTAGTAGGTTCCAATAGTTATATGTTTTACTGAGTGGATCTAGCAATAAAGGATCTCTGCATGCTCTCCAAGCCAGCAATTTCTCCAGCTTTGAAAGGGGCTGCCATTGTACAGCAATATTCCACTCTAGAGAGCACTAGCATCTTGAAGAGTATCATCATTGGTATAGCATCTCTAGTTTGAAACGTTCTTGTTATCCAATCTGTCATTTTCCTTGCTGTTGTGATGGCTACTTTGTGTTTTATTAAAGGTAAGATCTTCCGACATGAGTACACCAAAATCCTTTACATTGTTTTTTGTTCTGTTAAGATTTGACTGCATTTTATACGTGGTTTCTGTTTTTATATTTTCATTTTTTCGGTAGCACAAGAGCTGGAACTTGTATTCATTAAATACCATATTATTTTCTGTAGTCCATAGAAAGACCTGATTTACATCTGATTGTAGGTTTACTGTGTTCTCTCTGTTGTCTACTCATAAAAATCCTATTGTCATCTGCAAAGGATGATAATGTTATAGATTATGTCCTTGTCGATATCAGACATGAGGATGAGAAAAAGTACTGGAGCAAGCACAGTACCCTGGGGGGACTGAGCTCTTCACTGTTGATGGTCTGGATTTTATTTTCTTCACTATTACACATTGGGTTCTGTTAGTCAGGAAAATGTAGATCCATCTGCTAATTTTCCTGGTAATTCCTTTTGCACACATTTTGTGTGCAATAACACCATGGTCACATTTGTCAAAGGCTCTTGCAAAATCTGCGTAAATTACATTGGCGTTTTGCGTGTCTTCCATGGCCATGTTATAGTGGTCCAGCAACTGTGATAGGCAAGAGTGCCCTGTTCTGAAACTATGTTGTCCAGGGTTATAGAGATGTGATTCCATGTATTTTTGTGATCTTAATTCTTATTATAAAAATCTTCAAGAGTGTGCTATGTGATGTTAGTGCTATCAGTCTGTAATTTTTTGCCCCTGCCTTATTTCCTCCTTTATGAAGTGGTGCTATCTCTGCTGTTTTTAGTATGTCAGAGATAACGCCAGTATCTAGGTTTTGTCTCCAAAGAATGTGAAGGGCCTGCGACAGTGCTTTTTTACAGTTCTTGATAAATATGGAGTTCCAGGAATCAGGGATTGGTGCAGAGTGCATAGGCATACTGTCTATGGCTTCTTCAAAATTCATTGGGGATAGGGTGACATCTGATATAAGATTTGATGTTGGCATCACATCCATGAAAAATTTATTAGGGTTATCAGTCTTTAGTGTGTTTAGTGGCTTGCTGAAAACAGCTGTATTGATGCCTCAGTATTTCGGTCATTTCTTTGCTGTGAAAGTTCCATCTTTATGTCGCCGGGGCCTGATGTAGTTTTTTATCTTGATTTTGCATAGGAGAAAAAATATTTCAGAATTCTCTCGATTTCACTGATGGCCTTTTGCTCTCTTTGTCTCTCTTGGATTTTGTACGATTCTTGTAGCTTTAGTTCAATCGTTTCTATTTCTTTACCTAGCCTTCTTCACCGTTCTTGAGATAGTGTGGCTTTCAAGTTGTTCCGCGATTCGGTTTCTTCACCTATAGAGGGAACGCTGTTTCCGTTCCAGTCTGCATCTCTTCCTCTTTTTTCGTAGGGGTATGCGGTTTGAGCATAATTCTAGAGCTACTGAGTATTTTTTCCAGGCATTGGTTCAGGTTTGCATTTCCTAGCTGTTCTTCCCAGCTTATCTCTGTGAGGTCTTGGTTTATTTGCTCCCAGTTAATCTGTTTATTATTAAAATTGAATTTGCTGAATTCTCCTTCCCTGGTACTCGGGACTGGTTGTGCAGGTTTACTCCCCATGCTTGTCAGAACTTCAATTAGGTTGTGATCTGAGTAACAGGTATTTGTAATCATTATGTTCCTGATCAATTCATCATTATTAGTGAAAATGAGGTCCAACGTGCTCTCTTCTAGTTGGTTCTACCATTTGCTGGTTTAAGCAAATTTCCTATGGATGTCACACATCCGTAGCAGGTCATTTGCATGTGCCTGTTCATTTAGGCTACTTCCTGGTATTCTTTCTGATATAACAGATCACCATACTTATCCCCATGACAAGATGGTAGCTTCACATATGAGATGTTTTGTATCTGGGCAAATGGCTACAAATCATACAACTTTGGGGGATTTGGAACCAGGCATATAAACATGCTTAATCTGCATGTTGTGTGCATTCAATTTTTTCTGAAGATCATATGAAGTTTATCTGGGATTTTCTGAGGAAACTGGAGTGCAATATTTTAAAGTCTAGTCAGTTTTTCACTTATATCCTATAAACAAGAAATATGGAAAAGTGTGTAAATTCTTGTGTAGTATTGGAAGCATTTATTATTATTATTATTGTTGTGTATTGTTGGAAGTTTGTTTATGCATAGAGACAATTGGTGTGGATTTGGACTCTTATGTTTGAAGTACATTACACTAATTGTAAATTAAGACTTTTGCTGCACAATTAATCTTTCTTATCACTGACAATTTGATAAATATATTTCATGTGTAAATTATACTTCCAGAGAGAAGATGGCATTCTTCCTAAAGTCCAGTCCCACCATTCCTCCACTAAGTATGGATTCAGATGGTGAAGTAGCATCTCCTACTGAACCACTCGGCCCTCTTCATCCTACATTGGCCACCACACTACCATCGTATTCGTCTGCTACTTCAGACCAGAAAAACTCATCTCATTCACCATGCATTTCAAGACTACCACTTCCAAGCACAGATCAAAAGTCTGGTGAGCACACTCCCACACAGTCTCCACACACATCATCTCCCTCATCACCAACACCCACTTCAACTGCTACTTCATCCCCCATGCCTGGCTCTGCCTCTCTACTGATGAGACAGTTAACTGCCAGACAATCTACCACTGGTGCCATTCCCAAAGTCTTCCGTCCTGATGTACTTTTCAGCACGGAAGACCAGGGTGTGGAAGTCTGATCTTTCCTTCAAAAGTTAGAGTAAACCTTTAAAAATCAGTGGTCTCATATATTCATGACTGTGTTCATCCAGTATCACTAGGCTTACTTTTATTTATTTAAAGAGACTCTGGAGTTCAGCTAGGACAGACAAAGAACTTTTAGTATTTTTAATTGCTGAATCTCATAGTTTACAGATCGAATCATTGACACAAGACTGGTGTATAGATGTCTGCTTTCTTCAGAGATCTCATCTTTTACATAAAGAGGCTTCCATAAGCCTGTGTTACTGGGTGGACATTTCATGTTTCACTCACTTGACGGTAAGAATCCCTGTGGACGAGATGAACTCGTCCACAGGGATCTTCACAGTTTATTTTTGTTATAGATGTGTTAAAAGCCACAAAAGATCAATGTATGGCATTATTTGCTCATAAGGCAAAGAGGTTATATATATATATTTAAGGCTTTTTGTTGACTTAAAAAATCATTTCTAATGCACAGCCCATTAACATGGGAGTGATGGAATGTCACAAATAGCGTAAAGGGTCTATGTGCTGTGCCTTCTACTAGTGATACTTCCCTCTTGTCTTCCACTTTTCAGGAGATTTTAATAATTCTCACATGATCATACTCATAGGAAGACTGTGCAAATGTGTTCTGTAGAGACGTTTCAACAGTTCTTGGAAGTGTTGGTGAATGCCTGTGGTAAGGCTAACCTCACTATTATGCTAGAATACCAAGGCTTACCTGTGTACCTGCTCTGTCTCCAATGTTGAGGAGCGTGTCCACTATCTATATATTATGAAAATACTATTATTAAAAAAAAAATATAGAAAGTAGGCACTCTCCTTTGTAGGTTTTAAAGAAGAAATGTTTTAAAAATAGACCTCGGGTCCAAACCTGATGTTAAAGCATGCTTGTATAGTCTTTGATGTTATTCCCAGAATTGTTGAAAGGTTACATATTTTGTATAAAGGTGGAAGAATGCGTTGGCAGCTGTTGTGGTACTGAAGTGTTGGTAACCGAGAACAAGCAATATTAGTCGTGTTGGAACTAAGTCTTCTACTTCCCTGTATCTTCACTTTTTACATGGTCATGTTTTTATGGCTGAAACCAAATTAATTTTATATATTTGTACATTGAATAGGGCCAGACTTATGAAGAGTATTTATATATTATCTATATAATAACTTGTTTATATTATGAATAGAGTTATTGTCTGCTAACAGATTGATACTATTACATTATTAATAGTTGTGTCCAAGAGTAAGTACTAACTTGTTACATTTCAAACTTTCACGCAGAGAAGTTGAACCAAAAAAATATATTGTAAATATGTAAATAGAATTATATATACTATTTCCATGTGCCTTTGGCAGGTACAAATTTGTTATTTATGCTAACAAATATGAAATGATTTTGATATTTTAATTATATTCCCATTGCACGAAGTTTACGATTTATGATAGCTCTTTTTTTTTAAGGTTCATTTTACAGTACAATACTGTAATTTTTAATGCTGCTTTCATTATAATACCTGTACAAGGAAGTGTGTCTTTAGTAACTGCTAAAAGCAATCTGGATAAACTCAGACATAAAAGTGCACTTTACACTCATTATACAGTATGTTGAAAAAATTACTCTCCCTTGTTACTCTATGTACAAAAGTGGGCTGTGGTGCTTCATGTATTGTACTACAGTCTTCACATTGTATAAGACCAGAGAAAAACGTAATAAAACTTACACAGTATTGTGAAGTGATGCAGTAGCGCAGCTATACTGGGCAGATGTAATGTAGCTCGCACCTCGCATTGAGAAAAAAAGTGCTCCTTTGGCCCTTGCAGTATGAAAATTACATAGGATATAAGGAATACTCAAATGAAAATGCAACAATTTACTAATATTAAATACGAACAAACACAAAAAATGATACCTGAAATCCTGTTAACATACAATAATAAAATTAACACTTGCCGTTCTTTCTTGTATTAACGTGACAATAACAATATTTACATAAACATCACCACCTGTACACGAGGAAGCAGGGAGCAAATGATGTGTGAAGGCTGTAGTGTTGACCCAGAGCACCAGAAGAGATTGCTGAGGTGAGCAAGGTCGGGGATACTTATACTCCTGCTGGTGGTGTCACAGCCTTGTCACCGAGATGTGGAGGCCGGCAGCGTAATTGCGAGTTTTCCACGGATAACCAGCATTGGCTGAAACACCTGCCTGGGGGTCTTTGGTTGGGTGGAGGGTGACTGGTAGGGCTTCCCAAACACATCTGGGTCAGCTGTTGTATAGATGAAATGAAGGCGAGTAGGAAGAGGCAGTTTCCTCTGCTATGCTGAGGAATTACTATGCACAATACTAAGCCTAGGAGAGTTGGGTATGTTCTAGGTTTAAGTAAGAAAAGGCACCAAGTTGGGGAGACTGTAGTACCATCAAAGTCAAAATGTGCTAAATATCACTTGAGGATGCCACTAATACGAGAACAAAAGAGCATAAGGTGAGTGACCTCAACAGTAGTGGTTTCACCAAGGAGTCTAATGAGGGACAGGTGGGAAGAAAGAGACATCCTGAAATGGCCTTTGATGTTGATAAGAGTTCTCTCTCAGCATGCCTATTACACCTCTGCTTTTCAGCGGGGCTATTTTGCATGTCCTGCCAAGCCTTCTGATCTCATGTGGTGTTATTTTTGTGTGCAGATTTGGAATCAGTCCTTATAATATTTTCCAAATGTAAATTATTATTTATGTATCTCTCCTGCCAGTTCTTTAAGGAATACAGATTTTCAGGTGGTCCTAATCATTTAGATGTTTTATAGTAGATTCTAGCAGTAAAAAATCCTTGCATGCCCTCCAGGTCAGCAACTTCTCCAGCTGTGAATTGGGCTGTTAGTGTGCAACAATATTGCACTCTAGAGAGCACTAATGTCTTAAAATAAAGTAATCATCAATGGCGTATCATATATTGTTTGGAAGGTTCTCATTATCCAACCTGCCAATTTTTCTTGCAGATGTGACAGCAACTACATTATTTTCTTTAAAAGTACAGTCTTCCAACATGATTACTCCAAAATCTTTTACATTGCCTTTTCTTTCAATAGTGTGGTTTCTGCTTTGATGTTTTTGTTTTTTCCATAGTACCAGGTACAAACACATATTTGCTTCCTGTCACTTCATTGTGTATGCTTGCAAACATATTTACCTTTACACACAGAAATCACAATAGCGTAATGCATCAAATGAACAAATCCACAAGGGCCGTGACGAGGGTTCAAGCCTACATCCGAGAGTATCCCAGATGCTGCCTTAATCGACTGCACTACGACATGGTAAAAGAATTTTACCATCTGTGGCTTCTGCTTTGATGTTTTTGTTTTTTCCATAATACCAGATGCAAACACATTTTTGCTTCCTGTCACTTCATTGTGTATTCTTAAGAATTTGCAATTCTTTTACCATTCAAGTAAGTTCAGTAGAACTTCTGGTTGCAATTCTTTTACCATGTCGTAGCGCAATTGATTAAGGCAGCATCTAGGATGCTCTCTGTCGTACAGTAGATTCGAACCCTCGTCACGGCGACTGGCCAACAGAAAATAACATGATGTTTAACAGTGATAAATTCCAGGTACTCAGGTATGGTAAAAATGAAAACCTTAAACATAATACAGGGTACAAAACACAATCAAATGTGCCCATAGTAGGAAAACAGCATGTAGAGGATTTAGGAATAATGATGTCTGACGACCTAAAGTTTAGGTAGCATAACCAAGCAAATATTGTGTCAGCCAGAAAAATGATCGGATGGATTACGAGAACTTTCAAATCCAGGGATCCCATCACAATAGTTGTACTCTTCAAGTCACTTGTGTTGTCCTGTCTTGAGTACTGCTCAGTACTCACTTCTCCCTTCAGAGCAGGAGAGAGTGCTGAAATAGAGGGAATACAGAGAACATATACGGCACACATAGACGCAATAAAGCACCTAAATTATTGGGATTGTCTCAAAGCCCTCCAAATGTACTCGCTAGAAAGAAGACGAGAGATATCAAATAATACACACGTGGAAGATACTGGAGGGCCAAGTACCAAATCTACACAGTAAAATAACAACGTACTGGAGTGAATGATATGGAAGAAAATGCAGAATAGAACCAGTGAAGAGTAGAGGTGCCATGGGCACAATCGGAGAGAACTGTATAAACATCAGAGGTCCACGGTTGTTCAGCACCCTTCCACAGAGCATAAGAAATATTGCCGGAACAACCGTGGACATCTTCAAGAGGAAACTAGATTGTTTCCTCCAAGGAGTGCCGGACCAACCGGGCTGTGATGGATATGTGGGCCTGCGGGCCACTCCAAGCAACAACCTAGTGGACCAAACTCGCACAAGTCAAGCCTGGTCTCGGCCGGGCTTGGGGAGAACAACAACTCCCAGAACCCCATCAACCAGGTATCAACCAGGCCCTTGTAGATTTGTTTATATTTACCTTTGTCATGTGTTCCTGTACTTGGCATGTAATTAGGCTTGTGTAGAGCAAAGCCATCTTTGTATCCCAGTCATGAGCAGCGCAAGGAATTGCTGGCACATAAACTCTCATCACAGCACGACCTTCCTGGCCAAACTTCGCAGGTAACAGTGACAACAGTCTCATTTATATTGTAGTCCATGACAATTTGGCCTATACAGTTTACCTTGTGTTGCCACATTCACTTTGCCACTGTCTACTATTTCACCAGTGTGAATAGTTTGTCAACATATTTACTTTTGCATTGTCTTTCCAATGCACAAATAAAATCTTGGCTCTCTTTCCGAGCTGACAATCACCCACTGAAATACCAGTACCAAAATTGGCATTTCTCAGTGGCTTTACTGTGCCACAGACTCAAGCAGGCTCAGACTATGTTCAAGCAGGAACATAGCAGAGGGTTTGTATAATAATTGTCAGTGTACAGAATGTGCCCCTTGTTCAGCAGTGATTCCACGAGTGTCTTTACCACGGAGGGAGCCGGTCAGCCGAGCGGACAGCACACTGGACTTGTGATCTTGTGGTCCCGGGTTCGATCCCGGGCGCCGGCGAGAAACAATGGGCCGAGTTTCTTTCACCCTATGCTCCTGTTACCTAGCAGTAAAATAGGTACCTGGGTGTTAGTCAGCTGTCACGGGCTGCTTCCTGGGGGTGGAGGCCTGGTCGAGGACTGGGCCGCGGGGACACTAAAGCCCTGAAATCATCGAGATAACCTCAAGATAACCACTTAACCTCTCGGAACACATCAACGAGGAGGCCTGGTCGAGGATCGGACCGCAAGGACTCGGACATCTAAATTATCACAATGTTCAGGAAATGTCAGATGGCACAGGTGGTGATGGTAATGGGAGTGCCATTGACCTAATATGGTGTGGCTGTACTATACACTCACTGTATCGTTGCCATCAATGTCTATCACTTGTGTCAAGTCTTTATTGGGCTTTGGGTCGTCAACATCACTAGTAAGGTCCTCTTCAAACATTATGTCCTGAATGTCATCTTCAGAGTGGGTTTTCAACCACGCAACCAATTTGTGACCAGGAGCTAGATGCGTGTGCATTGTCCATGGTTACTCGCAATCGAGCCTACCAGCAGCCATGGGGCATGCCGAGAATTTTTTTTATAAAACGGCAGATGCTCACTGGAGGCTTCAGGTCTCCATCTGCTAACCAACCTACCACATGCATGCACATTTTGAATTTTATGACATTCCTACATGCACTAAAAGGTGTTATGAGCACCCTCAGTTGAGGGCCTGAAGGCACTATGCACAGTGCAGGTGTTTTGATTTTTGAGCAGTAATTTATTAAGGATCTGGAAAAAGCAAAATGTATTTGGTAATTAATTAGGCTCATTTTTATGGCTTTGATTCCCCATTGATTTAAATCTGTGATTTAACAGTCTGCTACAGGTTTCATGTGCATTAGAATGGGTTGACCTTTGAAGAATCCCCAAAATGTTTACCAAAGAATTAAAGCTTTCTACAAAACATTTATGTAGTTATGATACCAGGTACATGGTAGTAATTCTATGCAAAGCACTGTACAAACACACACCACAGACTTTTCATGCTTGAACTAAAACAATGTGGCATTCACATCTACTGATGTATATCTACACCATTAGTTAGGCATAAAAAGTACAGTACAGTGGGGCCTCGACTTACGAATTTAATCCATTCCCAGAGACGGGTCGTAAGTCAAAACGAATTTTCCAATAAGAAAAAATGTACAGTGGTACCTCGGAATGCGAGTGTCCCTGTATGCGAGTTTTTCGGAAGACGAGCAGGATTTCCTCGAAAAATATGTCTCAGAAGGCGAGGGTTACCTCGGGATGCGAGTTTGTTGATACGCGTACAGGCTGACCTAGCGCGTGGTGGTTCGGCGATCGTCGCCCCTCCACCCCTCAGTTTACCATTGTCTCGCACCCAGTGACTACCCCACATCAATTCTAATCGCGGATTTTCAGTGTTTTGTTGGATTTTTGGTGATTTGACTATACAATTTGTTATTATATATCTCACCATGGGTCCCAAGAAAGCCAGTGGTAAGAATAAAGGCCAGAAAGCCCATGTGAGGATGACAATAGAGGAGAAACAAGTGTTCATTCGGAAGCATGAGAACGGTACACGTGTTGTTGAACTTTGTAGGCAGTACAACAAAGCCACATCAACAATATGCACTATACTTAAGAAGAAAAATGAGATTATGAGTGCTAAAGTGGCAAAAGGAGTCAGAACAATAACGAAACAAAGACCACAAATACTTGAAGTGGAAAAGTTGTTATTAATTTGGATACACGACAAGGAGTTAAGGGGTGACAGTGTTTTGGAGGCCATTATTTGTGAGAAAGCCAGGGTTTGGACAGATTTGTGGTGAGGAAATCGAGCAGTGAGCCTCAACCAGGACCTAGTGGCACTCAGATAAAACGTCCCAGGGAGAGCACACCAGAAAGGTCCTCACTGCCTGATGTGATAATGGAAGGGGACTCCCCTTCCAAACAGTAACTCCTCTCCTCCTCCCCCCTCCTCACCATCTTCCATACGCCTACAGCATTCAACAGCAAGGTAAGTAATAACTGGAACATAGTTTTGTAGGTTTATTTAGATGAATTAGGTATAAAAATTTAGTTTGATGTGGGGTTTTTGGGGTAGTCAGGAACGGATTAATTCATTTCCCTTTATTTCTTATGGGGAAATTAGCTTCGGAATACGAGGCGTCTCCAGGAACCAATTAAACTCTTAAACTGAGGTATGCCTGTAAATTGAATTAATCCGTTCCACACCCCCAAAAATATTAACTTAAAAATACATTTTATACTGAATAATACTACAATACAGTATGTATATCTTACCTTGAATGAGGACTCTTGTTGACATATGGAAGATGGTGAGGAGAAGAGGTGTTAGTTTTTGGAAAGGGAGTCCCCTTTCATTATAACATCAGGCAGTGGACTTTTCTGGCATACTCTCTCTCCTACGTTTTGCCTGCATACCACTAGGACCTGCTTGTAATTACCTAAGTAAAATTAATTTGTGACTCACTGCTTGTTTTTCTCACTAAAAACCTATCTAGCAACACTTGTTTTTCCCTACATTGTAACACTTGTCTGAAGTGAGACATCACATTGTCATTAAAAAGTTTAACACAATGACCTGCTACAACTTGATTTGGGTGACACTTTTCAGCAAAACTTTGCAATTCTTCCCATACTGCACACATTTTATTAATAAATGAGGAAGGGACATCCTCTACTATACATCAACAACCCTCATATCATTTTCATGTTTATGAATGATCTCTCGTTTTCCTCTATGGTTATCCCTCACACGTGTTTTCTTAGGTGAACCTTACCACTGACTTTCTTGGGACCCATGGCGTGACATATAATAATTACTTTTACGTTCAAAAAACAAAAAAACACAAAAATACTGAAATTCTTTACAAGCGTGATCGTCACTAAGCGGGCAGCTCTGGTAAACTGAGGCGGGTTCAGTCATTCCACCAGAACATGCGCTCGGTTGACCCAAATGCATATCAACAAAGGTCGTTAGTCGACGACACGGTCGTAAGTTGAGTCGCATTTTCCGATGAAATTTAAGTCGTAACTCAAAAAAATCCTAAGTTGAGGTGTCACTGTATATTGGCAGGTCTAGTTTTGGGAATGGGGGTCATGATGCTCTGTAGAATTTGATCATTATTTCAATGTGATATTTAATATATTATCACTAGAACCTCTAATACAGCTCATTCACATCTAACTCTTAAAACATGTTCTGAACACAGCATCACAGCTGAAATTTTGAAGCAAGTAATTATCAAAAGAAAGGATGAAGTTGTGAAAAATAGCAATTATGCTTTAGATCCCAATGTCAACTATTTAACCATTACTCAAGATATTGAAAGGATGTAGAGATAGCTTAGCTCTTGTCAATATTCTGTATTTAGTCATTTACATTCCAATACAGGTACAGTAAAAAAAATAAAAATAGAATTACAAAGTAAAGTTTCACAAATTTATTACCAATTCTATTCTATTACCTTTGACATAACATAGCTGCAAAAGACTTCTGTACTACTACTACAACTACTGCAACCTGAGATTTCTGTTTTGAGGATACCGTAGTGATACTACTGACAAAAAGTGCTTCGAGAAGCAAGCACCCCCACAATCTTTTGAGTACACAATATTATTTCCTACAAAGAACCAAGTACTGCAGTGTATCTAGTGTTAGTCTACAGCTGAGAACTGATACACACTAAATGGAGTCTGCTACACATGTATCATTATATGCCACATCATAAAAAATTACCCAAAGCCGTAAACATTAAAAATTATTAATACGTTTCTATTACAACACTATAAAATGGGTAATTATAAACCCTAGAATGATTGAACTGATGCATGCCATCATAATTCCACTACCCTACTTCTCAGGTGTGCCTGGAATCATCTAAAGAATATGGACAGTATAATTACATTGTACAAGATACCGTACTGGTGCCGGCATGTGTATAAAGTATAATTGGCACTAGATTGCATTGTTTCCGTCTAAGGTAGACACGGCTAGTAATGTCCTGGCTTACAAGGATTACAGCAAGTGCAACATTAAGGCCAGTACAGCTACTTAGCCAATAAACTGCATACTGTATACAGTATAAATGTTAATTTTTGTTCATTCATTAATTTTTTATATTATACCAAATACTTCAGTTTATATTTCTTTCAATATATGCTATGGATCAGAACTACAATAATTATCTTAAATTTCTCTGACCCAAGTTTATCCAATGCCATTTGCCATTAGAGTATTAATACTTGACCCAAAATATGTGTACTTCCTATATCCCACTCTTATTGATATGAATTTAATCAGTTTTCCATGAATACGTTATACAGTAGAAGTGTAAACAAGTCGAGATTTCTAATTCCAGCTTTTAATGGAGAAAAGTACCTCCAAAAAAAATTTGGAGGAACTGTAGTAAAAACTTATAACTAAATTAACTTTCTTGACATTATTAAGCATACAACTGCTGAGAGTAGAAATGCAGAATATTTTTAAAGAACATTCAATTATGTTCATACTATAATAAATCTCTATCCAACATACTTAAGCCTATATTATTTCCTTCCACCCTCTGGTGCTTTGTCACCATGTCTCCAAGCTTCCTTATGGTCTCAATTTGCTCGCCTAAGAAATTACCATTCAGGAAATCGAGCGCATGGGTATCTTCCTCGGATATTCCTTCACAAAGATCTAGGAGCCCCTGAAAGAAACATTATTATGTAAACAATGCCATAGAAGGCTAATTAGCCCATTTTTTAACCCATTTTTTTATCTCTTTTTCAACGAGTCGCTTATTATTGCATTGTGAAAATACGGAAAGTATAACAGGCTAAATTATGTAATAGTACATCCTAGCCATTTCCCACTTCAATTTGAATCAATACCTGTATACAAATGGTTTAAAAAGTACAAGTTATTAGTTACAAAATCATACTTTCCAAAAGACAAAACTACCTTATTTCAAAATGCTATAACAAACATTTCCTTGCTGCATGCCAGGTTACCATTTTAAATTCAAACAAAAAATGTGCTATCCAAATATTTGCTTTGTATTAGTACATGGTTTGAGAACATATCAATATCAAGAGGACACCATTTAAATCTGGTAAAAAAAAAAAGAGCAAGTGAAATTACCTAATTAAATAATTACATACACATGAGGATGCTTTTGGAAACTGGAACAATGCTGGAGGGGTGACAGGGAGACTGCTGACATGGATGAAAAATTCTCAGACAGATGAGGGCGGTAATCAGAGATTCTGTACATGACTGGAGGAGTGCTACTAGCAGAGTACCAAAGGGTTTAGTTCTTGCACCAGTAATGGTCTTCTACATAAACGATCTACCAAAAGTAATACTGTACGGAATTATACGAACATTGTTTGTGGATGATGCCAAGATACTTGGTAACATAGGAAACCTAGATGATTGTCATGCCCTTCAAATTGATCTAGATAAAATAAGTGCCTGGAGCACCACGTGGCAAGTGGAATTCAATGTGAATAAATGCCACATTACAGAATGTGGAATAGGAGAAAATAAACAACATACAACCTAAAAATTATGTGGGAAAGGACTTACAGAACAAACAAAGAGATCTGGGAGTGGTTATGAATAGTAAACTGTCACAGAGGAACACATAAAGGACATTGAGAAAAGCATACGTTGCACTTTTCAACTTCAGAGTTGCTTTTAATTACATGAATCATGAAATACTAAAGAAACTGTTCATGAATTGTGAAACCAAAATTAAGATACAGTATGCAGCAGTTGCATGGTGCCCATATCTCAAGAAGCACATTAATAAATTGAAAAAGGTGCAAAGGCATGCTACAAATTGGCTTCCAGAACAGAAAAACAAGAGATATGAAAAAAAGCTAGAGGCGTTATATATGCCAAACTAGAAGAAAGAAGAGGCGATATGATTCAGGCGAACCCAATTTCACAAAGCATTGGGGGTGTAGTGGAGAAATGATAATATTGGCAGTTTGTCATCTGTAATGTCATATGAATGATGGACACTTAATATCTACAGACTTTCACTATAGTATTTTTATTTTTAAGGCAATGCCTCCCCTGCCAATAAAGTGGAAAATGGGTAATGATAATGCATGAATAAATTAACAATTGCCTGAACTTAAAATTATTTAATAATTCAGTCCTGTTAAAACTGTTACAACACTTTCTAATTTACACAAAAGAGATACAAATACTTATTCTTACGCTGATAGCTAATCCAACATCCTTAAATTCCCAGGCCAATGTGTCTGTGTATATATTAAATCTAAAAATTCATTGGGAACTTCATTCACAGATGAAAAAAATTGGGGAAAAATATGGTATAATATTCAACTGACCAACACTACATGTTACTTCACTTCAGGAAACACATTGTACAGATTAAACAAAAAAAAGTAAGTAAAGACCTAAAGCCATTCCTTTGGGACACACTACCTGCAAGCTATTACACAAAGTAAGAGCTCTCTTGCTTAACCCTCAAACCGCGCATATCATATATAAATGATATCAATGACAAAACCGAAACCGCGCACATCATTTATATATGATTTCGTGTCTAGCGCTATAATTTAAACTCCCCGCCTGGGATAGGGGCAGCTATAGTACAGCCATGACCGATAGTTGCCAGATGCCACCTAGAAAAAAAATCCAGGCCAACATTCTTGGGTGTTAGTCAGTATTGAGCAAGCCACCAAGGCTGGCGCACGCAGCACGAGCTCACAGCACCGCTGTCCAGCTTGTGACCACAGCATCGCCTACAAATACCATAATATATATGATACTGCTTTTATTTAGCAGTGATAGTATTACTGAAGCCCCCTGACTGTGATAAAACTGACCAGGATTCTGATAATAGCAGGATTGTGGTGATATTTAGCGCTGTGCTCCATGGAGGGAGGCGTAAGGGTAAGGCTGTGCGAGGGAGGGTTGTGGCGTCGTCTTCTGACTGTGTGGCCACCATTTATTGACTGCACTCACCATACCAGCTTAGTGGTTCGATATGGTGAACACAAATGTAGATACTTATATATAACGTGTGTATAGAGTGTGATAACAGCGAGAGGAGTAGGTTGGGAGCCGCCATTTTGGTGAGGGAAGAGCGTCGTCTGCACGTCTTGGCATGGTGTTTACTGATGGCCACTATGGTCTTTGGGCACCATACCAGCTTATTTGTTCAGGTATGGTGAATAAAACAGGTAGATACTTATATATAATATGTGTATATAGCGTAATAACACCACAAACAATATTGTTGAAGGACAAATATTAGTGCGTCTGGCCTTGAGGGCGGCCGCCGATCAGCTGACTGTGTGAGTAGCTACGTCTTTGTGGCCTTTACTCACCATACAAGCTTAGATGTACAGTTATGGTGAACAAAACATGTAAATACGTATATATAACGTCTGTGTATAGTGAATAAATACAGAAAGAGTATTGTAGGAGGTGAATGAGGGTGAGTGAGGTGGTGTTGAGGGAGGGAGTGGCAGCGAGTGGCTCGCTGGTGTTTGGCGGTCACTCCTCGTTGCTTTTTGACTCACAAGACCAACTTAGTAGTTCGTTATGGTGTACAAAACATGCAAATACTTATATATAACCTGTGTATATAGTGTAACAACAGCAAAACTATTTGTTTATTGTTTTATGAACTTAATAATTGAATCACTAATATGCACACCATAATTTTGAGTACAGCGATGGTTCACACATTTTATAATATAAATATACCACAATTCACTGTATGGAATAATATTACTGCAAAAAAACTAAGAAAAAATCAATCAGAGACATTGAAATAATTAGGTAATAATATATTTGTGGCAACTGCCGTCTGACAGCTCGGGCGGAGTAGACCTCGTCTGGCGAAGGCTCTGCCAATGCCCCTTTTTTGCCACACTTCCCTACCCTATTGCAGCTAAAATATGCCACCTACGATTTTTTTGTTATTTTTTCCGTGATCAGGGAACAAAAATGAACACTTCTATAAGACGAAAGAATTTTTTGGAATTTTTTTTTTGTTGCGCCTGTAGGTGTGAATTCCATTTGGGCCCCTAGCGGTTTGAGGGTTAACCCCTGGGCTGCTATTGTGATTATAGTCTGCAACATGCCCAGGTGAGAGAAAAAATCCTTATATAAAAGTGTTCATGTATGTTTCCTGACTATGGGGGAACAAAAAAAAAAAATCATAGGCGATATATTTTGGCCGCAATAGGGCAAGGAAGTTTGGCAAAATTGAGGCTTTGACAGAGCAATTGTTGGAGGCGGTCAGCTCCACCAGAGCTGTCAGGCAGGAGTTACCACAAAGATATTATTACCTAATTATTTCAATGTCTCCGATTGATTTTTGTATTATTTTTTTTTGCAGTAATATTATTCAATAGTGTGTAGTGTGATATGTTTATATAATAGAATGTGTGACTCATCACTATACTCAAAATTATGGTGTGCATATTAGTGATTCAGTTATTATGTTCATAAAACAATAAACAAATAGTTTTGCTGTTATTACACAATGCACACAAGTTATATATAAGTATCTACATGTTTTGCTCACCATAACTGTACAATTAAGCTGGTATGGTGAGTTCAGACAACAACAGATGTTGCCACACACAGTCAGCTGATGCTGCCTCCCTCCCTCACTAAGATTTCTCCTCCCACCATGTTGTTTGTGCTGTTATTACACTATATACTCACGTTATATATAAGTATCTACATTTGTGTTCACCATAGTGAACTTAGTTTATATGGTGATTCTAGACAATAACAGGTGGCCACACACTGTCAGCAGACAAAGTTACCTCCCTCCCTCCCTCAGCATTACTCCACCCACCATACTATGCACAGTGCTAATTATCACAACAATCCTGCTATTATCAGACTCCTGGTCATTTTTATCACAGTCAGGGGGGTCTTCAATTACATATATTTTTTACATTTTTTAGGCTATGCTGTGGTCAGAAGCTGAAACCAGTCATGGTTGCTCACTTAGTACCGAGGCTCTCACACCTGGGAATTTTGCCCACGATTTTTTTTTTTTTTAAATGGCATCTGTTTACAAGAGCCCTGAGGAAGCTGATGTGAACCCCGTATAGCCACGGGATTTTTAAATCTCGCGCGGTACTCCAACATATCAATAGCTGTGGTGCGCAATTCTGCGACAGTTACTCATCACAGCTAACGATGACTTGTGCAATTAAAGGGTCAAGAAGTTACATTTTGCCAGAGTTAAATTTGTTAAGCATCTCTGGAAGTGTTACTGAAGCTTCATTACTTTCACACATACATACAATTGCAGAACTGTGTAGTATTTATTCATTTGGATCAAATAATGATGGTAAAATTAATAAAAGAAAAAAACGCACGCACAGTATGTGGATGTGGATGCTCCAAAGGATACCTGATCAACCAGGCTGTGACTCATACGTCAGGCTGCGAGCAGCCGCGTCTAACAGCCTGGTTGATCAGTCCAGCAACTAGGAGGCCTGGTCGACGACCAGGCCGCGGGGACACTAAGCCCCGGAAGCACCTCAAGGTAACCTCAAGGTAAGGTACATTAAATCAATTTATAATAAACATCAAACTATCCAAAATACATTAAAAGATAAACTAAGTAATTATTGACCATAATTTAAATAAACCAACAATTATTAGATAACCATTACATTTGTTTTACAGTATCGCACATTTAAGTAGCTCTTATCAATTTACCTGATAACTTTGATAATTTAAGACTTGAAAATGATAAGAATATTACTGGCAATCTTAATCCACCATTGGAGGTAAAGAAAGTACTATATGATTAATAAGAGAAATCCTAGGATACCATAAAGGAAGATCTGACGAGACAAAAAATAGCTGGTGTAAAATCTGTCCGCTATACACGCCATTATGTAAAATATCTAGTTAGTCTGAAGGTCCAAACATCTATTAAATTGTCAAAATTTAAGTACCGGTAAGCAAATATACCAAGCTCTTGTTATCAAAGCTGAAATAAGGATATTTGCAGTATTATGCACTAAAACAAACAAAGCAGAAGTGAAATCTCACCTTATGAAGTTGTTTCTTAAGATCTAAGGCAGTCATGATGGCCTCCAGTCCCTGACCCCACTCCTGTTTGGGAGGGGGAGGAATATCCTGCAGGACAACACGACCTCCACGCTGGTTCTGGTACTATGCAAAATAAGGATGGTTTAAAATCTTATACCATCTAAGGAAGTTTGTTAACACTTAAAATATTCCACTGATATATTTCTTATCAACTTCTGGCTAGAACTGTATTGACCTTAACTGCATTAACCTAGGCATAATTGTATGCCTAGTACCAAACAAGATTCATGGGTCGCCATTTGGCAAGTAAGTGTGATATACTTATCATGACAATGTGAGGGGACGTTTAACAAGCTGCCGGTTTCCTGTTCTTATCGAGGCCACTAGTGTTTAAGTGGCCCTCAGGTAAATTCGGGTAAATACTGAATTTACATCATTCAAATATAATAATTTCTTGGAAAATTTAAAATTAACAAAAATCACTGGTGAAATGCATCATGATGTGACAGACATTAAGAGTTATCATCCTTTAAAAGATGGTTGAAACAATTAAAGGATAAAGGATACTAGTAAGCAATGTAACAAAAATTATGTTGAAAAATTAAGTGAAGGAGCATGTAAAAAGTCTTAAGATTGGGAAATTTAAGACTGTGCAGATTAAGGATGGAGCAACACAGTTACTGTATTAAATAAACCACCCTTCCAATTTACAATGAAAAACAAATGAGTGGTACACTTTGAAGAACTGTTAATGAGAGGGGGTAGCTGCATGCAAGACCATTTGTCTAATGTTTACCGTACTGCAGAAATGTCTGTGTATTCTCACATAGCTGATGACTACATGCACATCACTGTACATATGATGTGCTAGATTGAATAAGATATTTGGCTTTAACAATAAAATCTAGTTTTCAGTTGAATGCCCATTTTCCCCCAATTGCTGGGGGCTGTTGTTCCAATGGTGCTTCTGCAGATTTTCCTAGAAACTAGTACAGTAACTGATTATTTCAGCTATGAACCATTTTTATTGGTAGGTTTGGCAGTTCAGCCTCAAGACATTCCACTGTTGTGGAATGCCCCCCATTCCACTGTTGTGGAATGGGGGGCACGGAATTGGGCCATGCAATGTCTTGCATAGACATTGCACGGAATCGTGACCGAATGGTCAACCTTCAGTGGAATAACCTACCTCCCTAGCAGCTTAAGCAGCTCTCCTTGCTTGGAGAGCAAGGTCCAGAAATCATAGGGAGAATATTCTCAGACGTTTGCAAGTTCAACAAATGCTTTGTCACGTGTGACAGCCATTAACATAACTATTTATAAGAAGGCTAGCCACTGAAGTGAAGTAACCCAACTTCAATGATCGACTTTACTAGCAGATTATGGGATACAAAGTACTATATTTGTGAGTACTTGCAGATGCACTCATAATGATTTACAGTGATTGACGAACTGCAAAATGGTCAAGTTCAACCAATCAAAAGCAAACGTGTGAAGAAATATTGATCGAGTCATTTTCTAAGAAACCTCAAAAGAAGTTACATTACTGTACAGTGCTATCCAATATAGTAATACAGGGTGTATATAATATAAAGCCAAATTAAGCTGCTATGAAAATATATTCAAGCAAATACAGTATAGGAAAATATGAAAACAGGATAAAAACATTCCTAGACTGAATGTACTGTACAATACAGTACAGTATACCAATAAAACTCACTTGGGATTGTATACCAATGCTATCAGCTTCCTAAACTGTAATTTAATTTTCTTCTTATTAATATTAATCAACAGTAGTGGCATATATTAGATTATATGAGAAGGGAAATTTTAAGATCATGATTCTACACAAGGCAACTGCCCCCCGCATTCTATGCAGGGGGCACTTGTAAGAACTAATTGGTATATTACCTATAAAATCCCAGCCTCGGACTTCCCTCCATTCATATAAAAATATCCAGTCTTTCATCTTACCTTCATCAACTTTTGAGCATTAACATTATTAAAATCACTGTGGCCCTTGAAGAATTTGCTCAACCCCGGAAGTGCCGTATCATCTCTGTCGAAGTGGTAGCTCTGTTAAGAAGATTATACATTAATATGAAAATCCTAAAGGCATCATACTGTATAGGAAATACTAGTAAGAATTTACAGGCGATGAGTCACAATAACGTGACTAAAGTATGTTGACCAGACCACACACTAGAAGGTAAATTCTAGTAAGAATTTACTTTATAATTAATATTTCAGTTTTTAGAAATTACACCAGGTATGGAATTCTTATGTACAAGAGGTATATATATAGATGCAAGTGCAAATTAAGCTCAATACAGCACATGCCTTATATAAATACAGTATGTAGCTAATCTAGACACACTGATTAGTAAACATATGGTGCAGTATATCTTTTATGGGAGTCAAGGATAAAATTTAATCAGTAACATTAATAAATAGCCCAAGAGAAATTATGATATGCACACAAACTATCAACTACTGCACACACACTACTAACCAATATAAAATATACACCCAATATCAAGAGTAGTCTACAGTTGACACTTAGCCAATACACACCATAACCCGGAATTCTCGACTGTGAATTGAGAATGAACCCAACTGTACTACCAGGACCTCAAAATATAATATAAATACTGTACAGAATATTGAATGTTATATATATACATATAAAAAGTCTTTATGTTATTTTTAATATTATATTGAAAATAACATAAGAGACTTTTTGATACGACACATTTGTTAGTTGCTTATAATTCTAGTGTGAGGTTGATGGAGTGAACCTCAAATAGTATTTATTTGGTGTGTAATCAACATTTAATGTTTACAAGTTGCCAGAGTTGAGGGCAGGAAGCCTCCTTAGCAAAAGCCCAACCATGGGCCCGGAAGCTGCAGCCCCTTCCCCAAAGACATATTATGCAAGTGACTGTGGGGACGGACACACCAAATAAACACTAGTGAACCATAACCCAATTAATAAGTGGTTACATATGAGGTTATAATATCCTAATGAAAATACTGGATAGGCATTGACAGCTTAGTGGACAACGCTTCAGATTCCTAGTCCTGAGGTTCCGGGTTTGATCCCTGGTGGAGGCGGAAACAAAATGGGCAGGGTTTCATTCACCCTGATAGCCCTGTTCACCTAGCAGTATATAGGTACCTGGGAGTTAGACAGTTGCTACGGGCTGCTTCCTGGGAATGTGTAACAAAAAGAGGCCTGGTCGAGGACCGGGCCGCGGGGACGCTACACCCTGAAATAATCTCAAGAAGATAGGCGACATACACCAGCGGCCACTCACCATAGACAGGAAGACATAACTGGCGTGTAGTTCAAGGTTAATGTATCGGTTTATGGCAGCTTCAGTGTCTTCGCGGTAGTTTTGGCGGATAGCAGATGCCATGTTCCCCCTGAGTGTGGCTGGGTGTGACCCTCGACGCTGGCCTCGCCTCTGGAAGCACGGTTGCCAGATCCAAATTGCTCAAAGTAGCGAGCTGACGGCCTAGAAGTAGCGAATTTGTAATAAGAGTAGCCCAATATTTTTTAGTGAATGATATGGGTTTCAAAGCAATATATTTTGATATATAGAGTACACTACACGATTTTAATTGTTTTACTATAGTGAATTACTATAGAATGTATTGCACTTATTTATACAATTTGCACAACGTTTCGAACCTCCATGGTTCATTCTCAAGTGAAATGAAATTGATGATGATTGATTGATTAGGATTAAACCACCCAAAAGGTGGCACGGGCATGAATAGCCCGTAAGTGGTGGCCCTTTTGAGCCATTACCAGTTTCAATAGCTCATACTGGAGATCTTTGGAGGTGCGACTGCACCCTGCGTGACGGGAGATGTCTCCCGTAGAAATGAAATTGATTGATTTAAGCCACCCAAAAGGTGGCACGGGCATGAATAGCCCGTAAGTGGTGGCCCTTTTGAGCCATTGCCAGTATCAAGAGCTGATACTGGAGATCTGTGGAGGTGCAACTGCACCCTGCGTGACGGGAGATGTCTCCCGGACCAAATGGTGAAAATGAAATTGATTGATTGATTGATGAAGATTAAGCCACCCAAAAGGTGGCACGGGCATGAATAGCCCGTAAATGGTGGCCATTTTAAGCCATTACCAGTATCAAGAGCTGATACTGGAGATCTGTGGAGGTGCGAATGCACCCTGCATGACGGGAGATGTCTCCCTTGTGAATGTGTTAAGATGAAGATGAAGCCACCCAAAAGGTGGCACGGGCATGAATAGCTCGTAAGTGGTGTCCCTTTTGAGCCATCACCAGTATCAATAGATTGATTGATTGTTGCCGCCGAAGGCGGCTAGTTTATTGTGCACCCCATACTCATCCTGTGAGCGGTAGCGCAAAAGCATTACAGAGGGCACAAAAGGTCTTTATCAGACCTCATCTTAGATTATTACATAAACAATTTCTTCAATCCTTCACACTTTATAGATACAATGTTAGCTAGTTACAGAGAAAGTGCTATTACAAGAGCTACATATTTACAGTAAGTCATCATACATTAATGGTAGGTCTTGTTAATACATAATAGTTTGGCCAATGGGGATATTACAGAGTCATAGGGGAGCTTCTGTTTATTATTAGTCCTCACAATACACTACTTGTTTCTGAATCTCATATGTCGTTCATCTACTGGAAGCAAAATGTGGGTACAGTGGTTGGATAGGTTGCCATATCATACAGAGTGAGCTTAGATTTATCTCTAAAAGGCTCAATTTTACAACAATCCAAGATATAGTGTTCGAGTGTGTGTCCCTGCCTATGTCCACACACTTTACACTTTACTTCATCAAGATCCCTATACCTGTGGAGGTGCGACTGCACCCAGCGTGACGGGATATGTCTCCCGTCAAAAAAAATAAATAAATAAATAAATTACAGGACTCGTTGATTTATACCCGTACGGGGTCAGGTGATAAAGGTAAAAGCAAGGAGGATAAATGGGGGGCGAAGCACATAAGAACATAAGAATAAAGGTAACTGCAGAAGGCCCATTGGCCCATACGAGGCAGCTCCTATTGTACAAAGATTAATTAGGTGTAATTGGCCTGTTATGTTGAACAGTGTCTTCTGTGTTGGCATCGTTAGGTTCTGGTCTTGTACTTGCTAGTTTCGTGCCTTAACATCTTAATATTATGATAATCACGACATATATGCATTAAAATCAGTGTGCAATTCCGGTTTTGGCCTCCACCGCCTTCTCACGTGTTCCCTTGTAACTCACTTGTAACACTTAAATGCTGTGCTTCCTCTTTTAACCTGCTATGTTAAATGGGATTCTTGTATTGTGATTTGTGTATATGTACTCACTGAATTTGTGCGTACATATACATGTCTTTATAAGAACCATACGTATGTCTTTATAAGTACCGTACTTATGACTTTATAAGTACCATACATATACCATTATTAGTACCATATGTTTCCTATTATAAGTACCACACATATGCCATTATAAGCACGATACATAACCCTTATAAGCACGATACATAACCCTTATAAGTACCATACATATGCTGTTATAAGTACCATACACATGCTGTTATAAGTACCATACATATGCCCATATAAGTACCATTCAAAATACTCTCTAAGTGAAGGAATATTATAGAAATCACTTAATTTTCATTACCCATTTTTTATTCAACTCTTTATTATTATTATTACATGTTTTTCAACAAATTTTTTTTAATAATATGTTGAGAAAACACGATGAAATTTTTTATATTTGAGATGGCCGTATCTCGGTAAATATGGGTGTAAAGGCCTTAATATTGAAAATTAGCAAAGAAAGCCTTTACAGAAAGAAATATAAATTGCTGTGGTAAACACAATGGTACCATTTTCAAAGCGATTCTATGGCTAGTTTTGATTTTGAGTTTTGAGAAAAATGACGATTTCGTCTGGGCTGCGATTCTTTCCTGGCAAAAGGCTGTGTGGCAGAAAATGTAAGCTGGTCGCCGAAGTGACGTACTGTCCCGTTTTCTGATTTGGGTCCTCTGGTAGGTTAGGAGAGGACACCTTAAATTGACCTTTTCTTGACATTGGGAACCTTAGGAGGACGGGCTGAGTTAAGTACTGTACTATATATATGACCATATAAGTACCATTCTCATGCCCATATAAGTACCATACACGTAACAATATATGTACCATACACATGACCATAAAATGGCCATATAAGTATTATACATAGACTCGTGTAAGTACCATTGATATGCCCATATAAGTATCATACAAATGCCCTTCTAAGTACCATAGATATTCCTTGTAAGTATCATGTATGTGTCTTTATAAGTACCAAACATATGCCTATATAAGTACCATACATATGCCAATATAAGTATCATACATATCTTTATAAGTTCAGTACTTTTCATAACTTTATGAGTAATATACATATGACTTTATAAGGACTATCATATGACTTTATAAGGACTATCATATGTCTTTATAAGTACCATATGATGTCATTATAAGTACCATACATATGCCATTATAAGTGCCATACACATGCCATTACAAGTTTCATACAAGTCATTATAAGAACCATACGTATGTCTTTACAAGTACCGTACTTATGACTTTATAAGTACCATACATATGCCATTATAGGTACCATACATTTGCTATTATAAGTACCACACATATGGCATTATAAGTACCATATATTTCCTATTATAAGTACCACACCTATACCATAATAAGCACGATACATATGCCATATAAGTACCATACATATGCTGTTATAAGTACCATACATATGCCCATATAAGTACCATTCAAAATACTCTCTAAGTGAAGGAATATTATAGAAATTACTTAATTTTCATTACCTATTTTTTATTCAGCTCTTTATTATTATTATTACATGTTTTTCAACTCATTTTTCTTAATAATATGTTGAGAAAACACGATGAAATTTTTTATATTTGAGATGGCCGTATCTCGGTAAATATGGGTGTAAAGGCCTTAATATTGAAAATTAGCAAAGAAAGCCTTTACAGGCCTGTAGCGAGTTAATCTTATACTCGCTCCAATATTCTTAACTTATTATCAACTTCTATTGTTTGGTTATGGTCATAATAGCGTCTTGAAATTGAAATAAGTTTATTGAGGTAAAATACACACAAAGGGATGAGGTAGCTCAAGCTATTCTCACCCCGTTCAGTACATCGTGTTAATACATACAAAATAATAGTGTCTTGGAAGACGAGAATAGCAGCGAACACAAGCCAGCGCATATGTATATACGAAATGGTTCGTGTACACAAACTTGTTTGTGAACGAAGTTTTTTATATACCGAACCGACGGCGTCCGAAATGGTCATATACGATTCGACCTTTCCAGTCCACCAGCTGCTGCGTCGTCCAGTCAGTGTTGCCAGCTTGGGCTACAAATAGCGAATTGGGCTAATTTTAAGAGCCCCGCGCTCCCAAATTGTTAATTTCGCTACTTGCTACTTTTTGGGCTAATTTAAAAGCAAGATGTGCTAATTTGGGCTATTAATGTTAAGAATGTACGATTGCGAGTTACATGAAAGTAACTAAGCTATAAATAATTGTTATTAATAATAATTGTAAATATTAATTAATACTAAATAATATTATTTAATAAATTAGTCCCAATTCAATGCAGAGTTTTCTTCCAAGCACAGAAACTTCTAAATATAAATACAAGATAATAGATAGGTCGATAAATAAATAGACAACTTTCAAATATTGCACCAAGTAATGGCGAGACGAAAAAACTAAGACAGTATACATTACATTTGAAATTAATAATGGATGAATGGTAATAAATTGGTGTATGTTTGTTTGTATACCAGACAAAGTACATTTAATGGCAGAATTTAGCCATTTTGTGTAAAAACGTTTATATCTCATATTATTAATTATAACAGTAATCGAAAAAAGTCATAGCTTGTATATACAAGAGATGAAACAGAGAGTCATGAGCTAGAGCGATGTGCTGAGTCCATAAGGAGGCCGAGCTTCCAGAGATACCTTCCTGTGATTGGCTGTTGCGGGGAATACCAACACTCTTTTATGAATAAAATTTATACTAAGAAATAGGTCCTTGTGCACAACAACAAGGTTGTTGTGAAAAAGAACAACAATTTCTGTTTTGCACCTGACAGAAATCTCCATCTAACTGAATAATTTACTCCAATAAGAGGGCAGAGCAGTGTATCATTATTTGTGTGAGGCAACCCCCACTGATGACGTCACAAGTTAGGTAGCCAGCCCATGTTTCTGTAGCACCCGTTACATCCTGCAGTATTTAATTATCACTAAATTAATACTTTTAAATACTTAACATTTCACTTTTTAGATAGATTAAAGTTGAAGCAAAATGTCATAAGCATCGATGGTGTGCTGAATAAAGATGATTTATTAACTGGATGGAGCCTTTAGCTGATCCCTTCCTGTGATTGGCTGTTGTGTGAATGTCAACAAAGAGTTTCTACCAATGATATGCAATTTATTATGCACGTCATACCATCTTGGGGCGGAGCTAGGAACCTCCTACCCGAGCACAACAACCCGCCTTATGGGTTGCTGTTTGGCTTTTTATAGTGCGTTGGAAAAAACAGAGATGGCGTTAGTTGTATTTTGTGGGGTAATTTGTTATAAGTGTAATTTGATGTCAACAGATGGCGTAAGCTGTATCTTATGGCTACTATTGACCTGCCAGTTGATAGTGTTCTCTTTTGCCGACAGATGGCATCAGCTGTATCATTATTACTTCCGAATTCCCTTTAAACACTGATCTACAAATCCCGTAGCTTATGATAAGCTCTTATACTATTCTGGTATTAGGTAACAATTAATTTTCTTTTATCTACTGTTGATAATATCATTATATAACGTCTGCTTAGGATGTACTGTTCTTTGTTGAGATGGCCGTAATATTATTAAAACAACAAATAAAATAACAGCATTTCACACCAAAAATACTTAGATATGCTGAAATTTGGTAGTGAATTCCAATCTAGGAATCTCCAATGACGAAACTGTACTGTGTTCGCTTTAGTCGGGTATACTGTATATAATAGTTAATGATAAATCATTGTGTAGGGGACAGGCAGCCAGTGTATATATACATGTTAGGCTTATACCTTCCCACAAAGGTGGAACTATGGAGTAAGACTGGGTGCTGCTATATATATATATATATATATATATATATATATATATATATATATATATATATATATATATATATATATATATATATATATATATATATATATATATATATATATATATATATATATATATATATATATATATATATATATTTATATATATATATATATATATATATATATATATATATATATATTAATATATATATATATATATATATATATATTAATATATAATATAATATATAATATATTTTCTCAACATATTATTAAGAAAAATAAGTTGAAAAACATGTAATAATAATAATAAAGAGCTGAATAAAAAATGGGTAATGAAAATTAAGTAATTTCTATAATATTCCTTCACTTAGAGAGTATTTTGAATGGTACTTATATGGGCATATGTATGGTACTTATGACAGCATATGTATGGTACTTATATGGTATATGTATCGTGCTTATTATGGTATAGGTGTGGTACTTATAATAGGAAATATATGGTACTTATAATGCCATATGTGTGGTACTTATAATAGCAAATGTATGGTACCTATAATGGCATATGTATGGTACTTATAAAGTCATAAGTACGGTACTTGTAAAGACATACGTATGGTTCTTATAATGAGTTGTATGAAACTTGTAATGGCATGTGTATGGCGCTTATAATGGCATATGTATGGTACTTATAATGACATCATATGGTACTTATAAAGACATATGATAGTCCTTATAAAGTCATATGTATAGTACTCATAAAGTTATGAAAAGTACTGAACTTATAAAGATATGTATGATACTTATATTGGCATATGTATGGTACTTATAAAGGCATATGTTTGGTACTTATAAAGACACATACATGATACTTACAAGGAATATCTATGGTACTTAGAAGGGCATTTGTATGATACTTATATGGGCATATCAATGGTACTTACACGAGTCTATGTATGGAACTTATATGGTCATGTGTATGGTACATATATTGTTACGTGTATGGTACTTATATGGGCATGAGAATGGTACCTATATGGTCATATGTATAGTACTTAACTCAGCCCGTCCTTCTAAGGTTCCCAATGTCAAGAAAAGGTCAATTTAAGGTGTCCTCTCCTAACCTACCACAGGACCCAAATCAGAAAACGGGACAGTACGTCACTTTGGCGACCAGCTTACATTTTCTGCCAAACAGCCTTTTGCCAGGAAAGAATCGCAGCCCGGGCGAAATCGTCATTTTTCTCAAAACTCAAAATCAAAACTAGCCATAGAATCGCTTTGAAAATGGTACCATTGTGTTTACCACAGCAATTTATATTTCTTTCTGTAAAGGCTTTCTTTGCTAATTTTCAATATTAAGGCCTTTACACCCATATTTACCGAGATACGGCCATCTCAAATATAAAAAATTTCATCGTGTTTTCTCAACATATTATTAAGAAAAATGAGTTGAAAAACATGTAATAATAATAATAAAGAGCTGAATAAAAATGGGTAATGAAAATTAAGTGATTTCTATAATATTCCTTTACTTAGAGAGTATTTTCAATGGTACTTATATGGGCATATGTATGGTACTTATAACAGCATATGTATGGTACTTATAACAGCATATGTATGGTACTTATAAGGGTTATGTATCGTGCTTATAATGCCATATGTGTGGTACTTATAATAGGAAACATATGGTACTAATAATGGTATATGTCTGGTACTTATAAAGTCATAAGTACGGTACTTATAAAGACATACGTATGGTTCTTATAAAGCCATGTATGATGCTTGTAATGGCATATGTATGGCACTTATAATGGCATATGTATGGTAATTATAATGACATCATACGGTACTTATAAAGACATATGATGGTGCTTATACAGACATATGTATAGCACATATAAAGACATGAAAAATACTAATTTTATAAAGACATATATGATACTTATATTGGCATATGTATGGTACTTATAAAGGCATATGTATGGTACTTAAAAAGACACATACATGATACTTACAAGGACATATCTATGGTACTTAGAAGGGCATATGTATGATACTTATATGGGCATATGAATGGTACTTACACGAGCCTATGTATGAAACTTATATGGCCATTTTATGGTCATGTGTACGGTACATATATTGTTTCGTGTATGGTACTTATATGGGCATGAGAATGGTACCTATATGGTCATATGTATAGTACTTAACTCAGCCCGTCCTTCTAAGGTTCCCAATGTCAAGAAAAGGTCAATTTAAGGTGTCCTCTCCTAACCTACCACAGGACCCAAATCAGAAAACGGGACAGTACGTCACTTTGGCGACCAGCTTACATTTTCTGCCACACAGCCTTTTGCCAGGAAAGAATCGCAGCCCAGGCGAAATCGTCATTTTTCTCAAAACTCAAAATCAAAACTAGCCATAGAATCGCTTTGAAAATGGTACCATTGTGTTTACCACAGCAATTTATATTTCTTTCTGTAAAGGCTTTCTTTGCTAATTTTCAATATTAAGGCCTTTACACCCATATTTACCGAGATACGGCCATCTCAAATATAAAAAATTTCATCGTGTTTTCTCAACATATTATTAAGAATAATGAGTTGAAAAACATGTAATAATAATAATAAAGAGCTGAATAAAAATGGGTAATGAAAATTAAGTGATTTCTATAATATTCCTTTACTTAGAGAGTATTTTCAATGGTACTTATATGGGCATATGTATGGTACTTATAACAGCATATGTATGGTACTTATAACAGCATATGTATGGTACTTATAAGGGTTATGTATCGTGCTTATAATGCCATATGTGTGGTACTTATAATAGGAAACATATGGTACTAATAATGGTATATGTCTGGTACTTATAAAGTCATAAGTACGGTACTTATAAAGACATACGTATGGTTCTTATAAAGCCATGTATGATGATTGTAATGGCATATGTATGGCACTTATAATGGCATATGTATGGTAATTATAATGACATCATACGGTACTTATAAAGACATATGATGGTGCTTATACAGACATATGTATAGCACATATAAAGACATGAAAAATACTAATTTTATAAAGACATATATGATACTTATATTGGCATATGTATGGTACTTATAAAGGCATATGTATGGTACTTAAAAAGACACATACATGATACTTACAAGGACATATCTATGGTACTTAGAAGGGCATATGTATGATACTTATATGGGCATATGAATGGTACTTACACGAGCCTATGTATGAAACTTATATGGCCATTTTATGGTCATGTGTATGGTACATATATTGTTTCGTGTATGGTACTTATATGGGCATGAGAATGGTACCTATATGGTCATATGTATAGTACTTAACTCAGCCCGTCCTTCTAAGGTTCCCAATGTCAAGAAAAGGTCAATTTAAGGTGTCCTCTCCTAACCTACCACAGGACCCAAATCAGAAAACGGGACAGTACGTCACTTTGGCGACCAGCTTACATTTTCTGCCACACAGCCTTTTGCCAGGAAAGAATCGCAGCCCAGGCGAAATCGTCATTTTTCTCAAAACTCAAAATCAAAACTAGCCATAGAATCGCTTTGAAAATGGTACCATTGTGTTTACCACAGCAATTTATATTTCTTTCTGTAAAGGCTTTCTTTGCTAATTTTCAATATTAAGGCCTTTACACCCATATTTACCGAGATACGGCCATCTCAAATATAAAAAATTTCATCGTGTTTTCTCAACATATTATTAAGAATAATAAGTTGAAAAACATGTAATTATAATAATAAAGAGCTGAATAAAAAATGGGTAATGAAAATTAAGTAAATTCTATAATATTCCTTCACTTAGAGAGTATTTTGAATGGTACTTATATGGGCATATGTATGGTACTTATGACAGCATATGTATGGTACTTATATGGCATATGTATCGTGCTTATAATGGCATATGTGTGGTACTTATAATAGGAAACATATGGTACTTATATTGGCATATGTATGGTACTTATAATAGGAAATATATGGTACTTATAATGGCATATGTATGGTACTTATAATAACATGTATGGTTCTTATAAAGACATTTATGGTACATATAAAGACATATGTTTGGTACATATAAAGACATGAAAAGTACTCTACTTATAAAGACATGTATGGCTGGTAGTTATCTTTATCTTTAATTATCTTTAAATCCAACATTATGTATGTAACTCAATGTACGTACCTTAACCTGAATAAAAAAATCTAATCTTATCTAATCTGCTGCATGTTCCTTTAGCGGTTCGGTCGTCACAGCTTGTCTCAGGACCTCACCAGCTGTCTCAGGACCTCACCAGCTGTCTCAGGACTTCACCAGCTGTCTCAGGACCTCACCAGCTGTCTCAGGACCTCACCAGCTGTCTCAGGACTTCACCAGCTGTCTCAGGACCTCACCAGCTGTCTCAGGACCTCACCAGCTGTCTCAGGACTTCACCAGCTGTCTCAGGACCTCACCAGCTGTCTCAGGACCTCACCAGCTGTCTCAGGACGTCACCAGCTGTCTCAGGACTTCACCAGCTGTCTCAGGACCTCACCAGCTGTCTCAGGACCTCACCAGCTGCCTCGGGTCGTCACCACCTGCAAAATGTAGAACCAGTGAGAAAATAATTTTGGGGGCAATGGGGATGACTCGAACCGGCGTTCTGCTGGTTCCCAGACTTAACCCACTCGGCCACGACAAAACAAAAGTCAGACAACCCGGAACTGTACTGAAATTCACCTGGAAGTTCCGGAGGCTTCTTAAAAATTCTGGTGCCCAACCAGGGGCCAGATTCACGAAAGCACTTACGCAAGCATTTACGAATCTGTACATCTTTTCTCAATCTTTGGCAGCTTTGTTTCCAATTATTAAACAGTTAATGAGCTCCGAAGCACCAAGAGGCTGTTTATAACAATAACAACAGTTGATTGGGAAGTTTTCATGCTTGTAAACTGTTTAATAAATGTAGCCAAAGCCGTCAAAGATTGAGGAAAGATGTACACGTTCGTAAGTGCTTGAGTAAGTGCTTTCGTGAATCTGGCCCCTGGATTTTACGGTAAGCCAAACTACACTCTGGCCAGCGGGTAATGGTATTCACACCCTCACGCTCCTCCTTCAGACCACAAAGAAATCACAGTGACGTGATATATCAATCAGAAAATAATAAATTCCCTCATTATCACGTCGCCATTGTGATCTGTTTGTGATGTAGAAGCATTATACTCATATGATGATTTATACGGCTGCTATTATTCTAATATATATTAAGTATGACATTACTGACTCAGTTGAATAGCCTAGTTATCTGAAAGCCTTAATTAACGTACCTGACATGATACGGATGTCGTTGCCATGGAGACAGAAACATTACCTTTTCTTGCCCCTGGGAATGTTACCCAAACGTTCTGGGTTATTACAAGGGATAAACCACAGGCACGTATGTGGGAGTCATGTGTGTGTGTGTGTTTTCAAGCTATACCTAATAAATTCCCTGTAACCTACCTTACCCTTCTATTGTCAACCAATGTCTGTTTTTTTAAAGAGCGCTGTTTGTCGACATAATTGTATTTGTGCTGCTTTTTCAGCTATGTTTTCATTCTACTCTTTATGCTCAATTAGTATTAAGCTTGTCATTTAAGTTTTTCATGCCCGAAACGCTTTGCGTAATAGTGGCTTTAGGCATTGTATGTACTAGCTCTACCTATAAGTCAACCAATCTTTGTAAAAATTTCTTGTATGTATGTACCTTACCTAAATAAATATTTTATTTTATTTTTTTATTTTACCACATTAGGAAGTTTAAAGTTCACATTAGTGAAAGTTTACGAGATAGGAATTACAGTGAGTGGTAATAAGTTATGAATCTCTTCAAGAACTCTACAGATTTTAGCCAAAAAAGTAAGTAATTATCAAAATAAGGCACCAAGCCGGGAAGGCTATGTAGCACTTAGGTTAAAAAAAAAAAAAAATAGGATACAGCAGACATTTCACCTTTACTTTTTTTATTAACAAAATTAGGTATACACAGCAATGTGCTGCTACCCTATTCAATGGGATATTACACAGTGTAGATCAATAACTAGCTATAGGTTCAACTATTATTCCCGTCTGTCATGATGGTTAGTCATACATGGAATTAGGAGGGAGATAATACCTGCCTAACACAAAAGCAAACCAGCTCTGGCTAAACAACTGGCTATAAGTTCATCCAATATTCCCATCTCATAGGATGGTTACTCATACATGGAATCAGGGTAAAAAACACCAGCATTCCTGAGGCAATAAAAGGAGAATAGTGCTAGTGTAAATGAGAATCAGAACCAAATTCTTTGAGTAATCTCATGAATGCGCATACCAGCCCCAAGGGTTAAGGGTCTCAGATGCTATAGGGGGCAGAATAAAACCGATGGCCCTTAACTATGTTGGATTTGATTGCTTTCCTGTGGTTGGCAGTGCCACTTGTCTCGCCAAAACTGAAGGAGATATAGGGATCAGCCAGGATGGAAACATGAGTAGTCCCACACCAGCTCAGATGACTTATTCTTCCAGAGATTCCAGGGATAATTCCATTGTGATCCCATTTGAATGAAATGCTGGACTGTTAGGATTTTGGGCCTGAAGCCAAGAAGGGTCTTGCAACTGCTGAGCACTTGACACTTCTGTCATTAATTTAAATTGTCATGCATGCCAACCTTGATGCTTCTGCAGTGTAGACCATGAATGGTACATTAGTCTTCTTTCTCTTTTTATAAATAAATTCTTAATGTGCACTGGAGCACCAATGCAATGAAGAGGATCTTTCGGACTAAATGTGCAATTGTTAGAGAAACAGGTACTGCTACAGGCCCTTGCCTGGGGGCACCACACTGCATGGTTGTTAGGTGAGCAGTCTCTTTGTGACATTTCATCACAGAGCAAGGCTTCAGCTATTTTTTCCACCACTGGGCTGCTCCAGCTGGGCATTTTTGTTGGGTCTGGTCTGGTCTGGATGCAGGACCTGCAAGAGCATCCCACCAATTGGAGCTTTCAGTGAAAATAGGGATCACATTTTCTTGCTTTGTCACCAAGCTGTTCCATTAGGATATTTTAAAAGATCATTAGATACAGAGGAAGAAAGAAAGGTTGGAAAAGCAATGTAGAAGGCTGTGTAGACACCAAAGCCACTAAACCTGACACAAAGAGTAGCTTATTCCAGTCATGAGGAAGTCCAAGTCCTTTCTTTAACATGGACTTCCGATAGGTGTCATACTCTGATATTGCTGTAGAATGGTAGGAAAGAAAATAAGTTATCTTAGGAAGGAATAGGCATCTTGTTATGAGGTAGAAAGCAATGTTAACATCAAAATTGTCAATCCGTTTTAGGTCTGATATTTTGCACTTTCACCCTCACTCTATGCAATCAAAGGAAGGCACCAAGGAGGGTGCAGTCCACAGGATCAATTATATTAATAGCAGGCAGGAAATTTTAGTCAATAACGTATGAGTCGAAGGGGGACTTCACTCAATATCTGGTGGTGGGAGGTCTTATAGGAATATGAGGTTTCAGATGTGTGGGGGGATAAGTTCAGTTGAGAGGGAATGTCACACACAAAACATGACAGTAAAAGTGAACTCTTTATATCTGCAGCTGTAGGGTCCAAAGCCCATAGAAAATATTTTTGACCATCATTGTCACATCCCAAGTTATATATACAGTCACATCCCAAGTATATATATACAGACACATTGCCATCTGAATTGGTAGAGCACAAGTTTCCTGCAAAGGCATATATGTATGCATGTGCCTATTAGTTTTCCCAGATTAAATTTTTGGTTTATAACCATGGCTTATTTTATTTTTGGGAAAAAATTTAAACTGCTGGTTATAAGACTAGTAAATGTTTTAGCTGAATAGGCTGGATACATTAGTTCCTCGAATGTAATTTCTTTACATTCCACTTTTGTTTCCTATAACGAGATTATAATAAACAGGTACTTTATGATTTGATTGTTTGATCTGGAAGTACCTTCAGTTAAGACTGTCACTCACAGTTGTTTTAAAAAGTTTGTATTTTTATTAAGGTGCAGTTTTATTCTAAAAGTTCTAGGTTTGTTTAATATACTGTACCTAATATGTATCTGCTGCAAAAGTACCTTTCCCAAAACATTAGTTGGCATTCAAGACCATCTTCATTTTTTTTGTGCTAAATAAGTTTCCTCTAGGCAGGCTTTTGTAAAATTGGAATTTGTTACAAATTTGTTGCTTATGCAAGGAATTTCATTCATGTAATCTAGCATCAAGCTCTCCATCCATAAAAATTCACAAAAATGTATAGTACCGAGAGGATATATAAATATATAAAACATGCGTTACAATTCTTTAATGATATGAAATGCAGTTAAAGTTCTCATAATACAAGATGCAACCCGAGGACCACCAAAACAGTCAAACAATGTCAGTTTAAAAAGAAAACCATGGCCTATATTTTAAAAGCATGTAGTACCAGCAATTCAATAATTTACAGTAAAACCACTTAATGATCAATTACAATAAATTACCTACTGTAATTTGTTTTAACCATTTGCCATTTAAAAATTGTGTAAAGTACAGGAGTCAAGCACCACAAATTAAGACTTCTGCAATAAAAATCAAGGCAGAAATTAACGTCACATTCAAATTTATTGTGACCAATAAGGTTGGGGAAAAAACCTTTACTTTAGTTCTTTGTCAAAGAGGAACTCTCCCAAACCAGATGTGCCAGCACGCTTCAGGCGGGTAATCATGTTGCCAAGCTTCTCGATGGACTCCACCTGCTCTTCCAAAAAGTCTTCTTCCAGCATGTTGGTAAGATGAGCATCAGTGTTCTTGCTGGCTGTAACATGGAGATCCAACAAGCTCTGAAAAGGAAGATAAATATGCTAAAATAAATTTAAGATTTCAACAGACAAATTTTAAATGTTTAAAAGAACCAAAATCTTCAGCTTTTGGTATACTGTATTTATTTGAGAAATTTAGCAAAGACCATTTTTATTAAATACCATAGAGTTCTACTCATCCTAGACAAATACATTCAATTAGTCAGACTTTGATGGATCTACAAATCTTTATCTGAAGTTATAAATTAGACTACTAGCTAAAGATTCTACAAGGACCATATAAAGAATGCAAAATAAGACTTCTTACCTTGTTAACCTGCTTTTCTAGATCCAAAGCAGCCTGCAGGGCATCATGAAGAGTACCCCATTCTTGCAGTGTTGGTGCTGCAATGGCCTGAAGCACAATGCGTCCTCCCCTCTTATTCTGGTACTGTTAGGTTTGAAGAAAAAAAAAATTATGCCTTCAATTTAAATAAAAGACCAAAAAGTAAACATATGCAATTATTCAGTTGTACTAAGATAAAGCCAAATAATTTACATAACATTAATGCTGTGCAAGTTCACAGAGTAACCTCATTAATCTGCAAATATACAGGGACTAAAAAAGAAGGAAAAAAATACCATTCATAAATGGCCTCCTCAGACGCAAATGCACTATTTGGAGCATTCATAGAAATCCATGCAGAAGAATTCAAGAACAGCAAGATATGGATACCAAAATGTAATCTATATAGATGTGAAGGGTAAATGGGTCACATGGAGAGTAGGAACAAAGAAAAAAAATCACCCAGTAAAGAAAAAGCTACTGGAAAAAAAAGTTTCCTTTCATCAGAAAGGAAGTTTCGGAAAAGGAAACCGGAAAAGAAAAAAATCGGGAAAGAAAACTTTCCTAACGAAAAAAACTGCCCAGGATCCTTGTTCCTCAGCAGCAAGCTGAAGACAAAGACCATTGAGCTTCAAGACCCAGTCGTAAAAAGCACACGACTGCTACTTCACAACAGGTCTGTACACATGCTGCTCAATTGTTAGACCCAAATTAAGTTCGAATAGTCAAAGCTCTCTTACCTTCATAAGCTTTTGTCCATGTTCACGCTCTTCATCACTTGACTCTTTGAAGAACTTTGATGCCCCAGGAAGAGCTACATCATCACGATCGAAGTAATAACCCTATAAAGTGAAACAAATTAACAATACAAACTATAAAATATAAAGAAAATATAAATACTGCACAACTGTAATAAGCACTTTCTGGAAATTTGTTACTTAACCCAATTTTACATAATATTTAAAACATATGGCACCTACTGGAATTGATCAGCAGCCAAAATAGCCAAAACAAACAATCCGGAAGAGGAGGAATATGAGGGGAGGGGGTGGGTGGGTGGGAGGTGTATTTTAATGTAAAATACATCAACCAGACAGTTTAAAGAAGTTGCTGAAAATAAGTAATTTCCACACAAACTTTCATCAACTATGGTTGTTTAAGACGTCCAATTGGCACAGAACTAATGTAGCACTTTGATTTTTTTTTACTTCTACAATCATAAAAATCTACATTTCTTTTAAAGAAAATTTAAAGGGCCTTGGTAATCTGAACCCAATAAACAGCCAGTGGGGGATGGGAGAAGGTAAGGAAAGAAAAATTAGCCATATATAATGGGTTTGGGAACTTCACAAATATTTGTTTAACCACACAAATTTCAGTATTTTATGAGCTATTCAGAATCTCTCGAGTTAGTAAATGGATTAGAAAAATTAAAACGAGTCTTACAGGTGTTAGCCCATGTTCCACCCTTAATACAGTACAACTCTGCTTTCAGAGCTATTTGAGTAAACCCTCACTCTGTCCTAAGATGGTAGTTTGCTAGTTACACGATTTACTTCTCAACACAACATTTAAGAGAGTTCTTTTAGGATTACACAAATATTAGTCTCATGTCATCATGTTAAACAACAACAATTAGGTCAAGGGAGTCGACCATGTTTTTTGACAACTCTCAAAAGGTCTTTAAAAGTTGTGTCACAATCGCCAGATTACCAAAGTAAACTATTCAGATTAGCCCACACAGCCTGAAAATATTTCACCTTCGTGAACATAGACGGGGTGGTGAATAAAGCAGAAAAACTGCATTGACGTGAAAATGGCCGTCAGGCGGGAGGTGTTGCTGCGTACATAACCGGAACAGTCTTGCAGCCTCAATGTCGGAAGACATAATTCTTCCATATGTCTTCCTTTCTCCAGGGTTTCAAGAACATGGCAACATACACAATAATTAAACAACCCAAACAAAACCATTGTAAGTACTAAACGAATGATACGAAGCAAACAATAAAGGCGACCTGCGGCCAACCTACCATGGACATGTAGACATAACTGGCGTACAGTTCCAAGTTGATCTGCTTGTTGATGGCTGCTTCGCAGTCCTCATGGTAGTTCTGGCGGATTTGACTGGCCATCTTGTTGTTGTTGTGATGAGGATTACAGAGTAGAGACAGGAGAGAAGTAAAATTGTAAGCAGCGGAGGGAGTGTGGATGACTTGGAGATGATGGGGAGCTCGTTCACACACTGGCGACCCGGAGCGTCCTATGCGCACCCTGCCGGCGCTGCTGGCTTTTATACCACTGGCGCTTCTTTCCACCGCCCCGCTATCTCTTATCTATTCCTCAACATCATGGAATCTACTAACTGCGTATATTACCGATAAGGGTTACATACATATATATCCTAAGCCCATTTTGTGCTTTATCGGCGTGGGTCATTATAGCGAGGTGATGGGGTGGGCGAGGGAACTTCCCAGTGGTTATTACATCTCTCGCTCTTCCACTGCCTCCCTCTCTTTCTTATTGATCTATAAATAACTTGCATAACTCAATACATGTAATGCTGACGGAGGGCGCTGTGTCCCACGGAATAAGATATAATTTTATAACTCATCCACTACAACGAAGAACGGTGAGGGACGAGGGAGAGTTTGGAGGAAACTTTCGATTGCTTTGGTTTGTCCTTCACCGCGGCTTTTCCCACGTATTCGTTTCGTTCGTTGTCAGTTTGTTTCGTATTCCAACACCATGCGAGCTTCTGGGTTGGTGTTATATGTATGATTTGATGGATGCCTACTACTAATCATCCTGAGACGGGAATATTAGATGAACTTATATCTAACTTTTTATCTACAATGTGTAATCTTTCATATAGAATAGGGTAGCAGCACATTGCTGTACTCACTTAGTTGTGCTTGCTAAAGCACAAAGCCCCTTGAGCCAAAGCTCAAGCCCCTTGAGCTTTGATTCTTTGGTCCCACCTCTCAACTGTCAATCTACTCAATCAACTGCTGTGTATACCTAAGCTTGTTAATACACACAAAAAAGTCTTAAATATTAGGCATGTGTTTCGTTAGCTGTATCATAAATTCCTATATGAACAGCTTTTTGTGTTTTACCTTAGAGTTGCGCTGAAATAATAAACTTATAATTTATTTGGGAAGGATCAAGTATGATTACTATCCCTCTATAATTCCCCACCAAGCCTTTGATTTAAAGTTTGTTTACATAAATAATTGAGCACACTCCCCTCCCTTTCACTCTGAGCGATGGTGGAAAGGTTACAGAGGTACATGACGGGCTCGATAAACCCCAATATTCGTTTAACTGAACAATTTACACCATTAGTGAACTAGTTACAAAGTTTGTTGTCGTATACATCAACAGTTTATTTACAGGAGTTCAGTCTTGTTATAGCTTTTAAGAACCCAATACCCATGACCATCTTGATCCCATCACTCACTCCTCCAGCGGAGGATTCAGTCTGATATAATGGACTCTGGAACCGAACAACTCTTTGTTTAGCGATAAGCAAGTTTGGGCATTGATGTTTTGATGAAGGATAAATAATTATAAAAGAAAAAGTTAAGCTAGCATTGCTATATAGCACTGTCCATGTTACAGAAGAATCGGTCCCGTGCCACCTCTTGGGTGGCTTAGTCTTCATCTGCAGGCGATGAGTCACAATAACGTGGCTGAAGTATGTTGACCAGACCACACACTAGAAGTTGAAGGGACGACGACGTTTCAGTCCGTCCTGGACCATTCTCAATCGACTTGAGAATGGTCCAGGACGGACCGAAACGCCGTCGTCCCTTCAACTTCTAGTGTGTGGTCTGGTCAACATAGTCTTCATCAATCAAATCAATCACCTAAGAATTGAAAGTTCCTATATCATTCAGTGTTAATACGAGAAAATAAAGTGTTAATATTTTGTGTGGCCTGTACATAACAGAGGACGTTTGACACTTCCAATCACAGTGAGAGGAGGAAGGCCATAACGGGGAGAGGTCACGTATATGATGCAATTTGTTATACACATTAAGCCAACCATGGTTCGTTCCCACCAGTTGTGAATAACATTATGAATGACAGGGTAGAAATCCCAGTAAAGGATGAATTTTGGAAGCTTTCTCGTAGCTTGTTAGGGCTACATGAGATATTTTCCTGAGAGAGAGAGAGAGAGAGAGAGAGAGAGAGAGAGAGAGAGAGAGAGAGAGAGAGAGAGAGAGAGAGAGAGAGAGAGAGAGAGAGAGAGAGAGAGAGAGAGAGAAAATGTGTGTGTGTATTCACCTAGTTGTGCTTGCGGGGGTTGAACTCTGCTCTTTCGGCTCGCCTCTCAACTGTTTCTACTACTACGATTTTTTTCCCACTCCCCATGTGTGTGAGTGTGGAAGTGTGAGTGTACGGAAGAGTGAGTGTGAGTGTACGGAAGCAGCCCGTGACAGCTGACTAACTCCCAGGTACCTATTTACTGCTAGGTAACAGGGGCATAGGGTGAAAGAAACTCTGCCCATCGTTTCTCGCCGGCGCCCGGGACCACAGGATCACGTGTACAGCGTGCTGTCCGCTCGGCCGGCCGGCTCCCCTGTGTGTGTGTGTGTGTGTGTGTGTGTGTGTGTGTGTGTGTGTGTGTGTGTGTGTGTGTGTGTGTGTGTGTGTGTGTGTGTGTGTGTTTGTGACCGTCTGACCGGGGGGAAGGGAAGGGGGGGATGAATTATTGAAAATTTTACGACTGCATGTTTTCCTGGATGAGTGTATAAAACTCAGCGATTCATGTACAAGGCCTGTTACAATTAGCATAAATTTAGGCGTATTGTCAGTTGACTTGTGTGGCCTTACAGTTGTTTATTAAGAATCATATTGCAGTTATGTACGAAAAATGTTCCGGTCGTTAACCGAATGTCTAGAAGACTGTTATATGGTCTTTTTATATATATTACGTACGTCTCCCTGCACACTGAAATAATAATAACGTGATATATCTGTGAGAAAATATGGTAATGTCGTCCTGTCTCTCTTAACATAGGTACACCCCATGGTTATTCGGCTGAGCTAGGCTAGGCTAGGCTAGGCTAAGTTTATTAGGTTTGTCATATAGGGGCATGCAGTCAGTTCGCCATTACTAGCAAAGTTTGAATGGATTATGACGTTCTGAAGAGCACGAGAGTGGATAAAGTAATTGAAAAGCTGCTTCCAGGGGGTGGAGGCCAGGTCGAGGACCGTGCCGCGGGGACACTAAAGTCCCGAAATCATCTCAAGATAACCTCAAGATAACCTGAGGCATACCGGCAGGTGTGAAGGGTCAAAGAAATGTATATTCAATAACGTAATAATATTAGAGAGTTAATACCTAGTTTCTGTGCCATTCTGTAGCAGGAGCTGATGTCAGCTCGGTGGTGGTAGATGGTGTCGGGTCGTCGGTGGCAAATGATGTCAGACTGGTGGTGACAGTGAGATGGTGTCGGATCTATGTCACGATATATCATTGACGGTGACACAAGTACACTAAAACACGCAGGAGGAATAATATTATGTGATTCAAAATCTGCTCTTCAAGCACTTGAAAACTTATACTGCAAGATAGACAGTAAGAGTCTCATAACAGCAATTATAAATTACCTGCTCGATGCACATAATAAATCTAGAATCTCTTTTGCATGGATACCATCTCACACAAATATAACTCATCATGATGATACAGACACGGCGGCCCAATTTATCATGTAACAAGAATGAGGTTGAACAAGATATCCTGGGTATCCCCCATCTCTTGTTGATAAGACTATATTGTTCCAAATAAGGTGTGACGGGAAATAAATTAGACTCGCAAAGGCCTGAAAGCACTAGGTTAAAGTTATATTATTTGTTTAGATCTGATACCTATATATATGGGCAGCAGAAAATGTCCATTAGGTAGTGCGACATTGTGGTTGCCAGGATCACGTTGGCCCTGCCGTTACCTGTTCTGTATCCCTTTCCACTACCGCCCACAAGATGGGTATGGGGTGCATAATATATGAACTAAACTACCTTTACCTGTAGCAGGTGGCTAAAGGTGAGGAATTTCCCAATCCTGAGCACTTCATGTGCAAACTCAGTGAGCAAAATCTGGGTTATGATCATTATTGAATATCGAGTTATCAGACCCTTTAGTCTGCTGGTATGAGGTACCTGGAGTTTTGCAATTACTTTATTCACTCTCATATCCTTGAGAATAGCCTCACAATGCCCCCAAACTTTGCCAGTGTTCTGATCACATGCCCCTGTATGACTAACCACCCTGCGAGATGGGGAATTCTAGTAATACATAGCTAGCTCTTGACACACTGTGTAACCCTTCATACGGGCTAGGGTAGCTGTATATACGCGGATCTACCTAAATATGTTACAAAAATGACGAGTTATCATAAGGTGGCGCGATGAGTTAGCACTTCCAGGGACTGCGGCGAGAATTTCTTCTGGAAATTCCTTCGGAATGTTGTTGAATGGCGCACTAAGGTGTGAATAGAAGCGACGCAGGGGAGGCAGCAGGGTGAAAGTCTGCTGGTACGAAGACGTAACTTCTGCCGGTGTGAAGAACAGCAATTTCTGCTGGTGTGAAGAATAACTTCTGCTGGTGTGAAGAACAGCAATTTCTGCTGGTGTGATGAATAACTTCTGTTGGCGTGAAGTACAGTAACTTCTGCTGGTGTGAAGAACTGTAACTTCTGCTGGTGTGAAGAACTGTAACTTCTGCTGGCGTGAAGAACTGTAACTTCTGCTGGCGTGAAGAGCCATAAATTCTGCTGCGATAATTAAAAGGGTAAACCAGTAGAGGTGGTCGACAAGTGACTGGAGACGATGAGTTTCCACCTGGCAAGACGAGGCGTGCATCATTTTTTATTAACCAGCTTAAGTACACACAGCAATGTGTTCTAACACTTCTATATTAAGGATTACAGAGAAGAGATCAAGAGTTTGCTAAGAGTTCATCTAATATTCCATCTCACAAGATGGTTAGTCATACACAGAATCACGAGACGACATGTGATGCAAGTCTAGTCTACTAGTCTACACTAGGAAATTCTGGGTTGAGCACAAGAATATCTTATAATATTCGTGAGCGTATGAGGTAGGTATCTTATGCCATTCGGGTTGAAGTCTTTGATAACAGGGCACTCACTAATATAGTGTTAAAGAGTGTCCTAGCTCTTGTTCACATAGTTTACAATTGGAATGCTCACCTTTCAGGCATTCAGTACATACAGTCACCTGCTTTGTACTATCCGTACAAGTAGTT